TATAACAGTTTCAGGGGAAAATAACTACAGACACCTAACATTTACTGATGTATCAATACTGTATTAAATAGAGAATCACACCCGAGTGTCTTTTTATATCAAATATATCAACGAGTGTTGATATATTTGATATCAAAAGACACGAGGGTGAGATTTTATTTATCATCCAACATCATTCTTCTAACTGTTTGTGGACAGTAATAAGCAGTGTCTTAAGAGTCAAAAGTACTGCAAACAGATTCAGTAGCAGAACCATTAGTGATGTCATTTGATTGTGACGTCATGGTAATTAACCAAAGCGTTGTGATGCAATTTCATTGCAGCAATATGTACAATATAGATATCGCTTGATCTCACCCAAGTGATATCTCCTGTTGGAGCCAGTTTTGGAGGATAAACATGTGCAACAGAGAAACGGAAGCCTGGAAAGTAGGAGCTTTTTTATATTTCAGTTTTATCCAAAGGAAGAATTGGAGAGATAAACGTTTTTGAATGTATTTACTGAGGGTGAATTCGTTTCATGTTTGTGAATGCTGTTTCAAACATAGCATATCACTGTAAGCCACTTGAATCTGTTAAGGTATCTATAAATGTAAACATAATGCAATGTAAGCACTGGGGACAGGTTACTGCCGAGAGGTCAGCAGTATGTTGGATTTTGTTTATACGCATCTGTAATGATAATTACGATAATGTATTATTACTTATCACATAAACGGCTAGTACTGAGAATTATGGGCCGAGAGGCCTACATTCTGTATAAAATAATGTTAATTTAATCTGAAAATCCTAGTACCGGTTTACATGAATGTGTATTAGCAGACATTTTAAGGACGCTTGTGACGAGTCGGACCCTTCATTCATGTGTGGATCGAAATATCACATGAATGTTTGTTTATCAAAATACACTTGGTTTTAGAATAATGCACAAAGTTCACGTAATACCTGAGGTGTTTAAAACTGATGACTCGACTTACAGCAACAAAGGATAAAATCAAATCCCATATTTGTATTCATGAAATATTAGGATAAATATGCAAGTGACGTAAGTTACTCTAACCAAGGTGTGGCAAACAACTCAGTGGCACTGTATTATGTGTTGCTGGAACTGTTTTTCTTTCAATTAATGTGACATGTTTAATAAAATATTCAGTGTGGGAAATTAGCATTGCACAGCCATGATTGAGTGGTTTATGAACATACAGTTAGATTAGAATGACAAACTGGATTAAGATAAATTTACTAGATATAAATAGACGCACTATTCTACATGTTATAAATGAATGATTAACAGATTACGACGTAACAAACATATTTATTACTGACAGCTGGGTTGAGATTTATTACTGTAGTGTCTGCATCCTGCGGGCATTTACATTGTACTGGGTGTACAAAACAGGAGTGTCGGTTTCTCTCCGGGCGCCTCTGTCACTTCAATGTTTAACTTTAGAATATGTTTGGTAATTAATCAAATCTAATACTAAATATACTTTCCAGTCAACATTTCACTTACAAAACTTCCTATTATTTCCAAACTTTTCCAAAATTTATTTTACATATGTATTCATCTACTGTAGCACTATTGTGCTGTTAACCGTTGTGTATGTTTTCTTGTCAGAGCATGGACGCTGATTTTATCTGTGCTTCTATAAAATAAAATATCTGCATGGCTACTTAAGAAATAAAGGACGAGTGAGAGTTGTTTTTCGCACACATAAAACACTGCAGAAGGAATACACAATTAGGGGTGCAGTCCACATACCTCGCCAACTGTGTAATTATAAGGGTAAAAAAGATCAATAAAACCCTGTCAATTATAGAGGTATTACTCTAACATCTTGCCTTAGTAAGCTTTTTGAGAAAATTCTCCTAGAAAGATTAGAAACGTGGACATCCCGAAATGCCTGTAATTTCCCCGATATGTTGCAGCTTGGCTTTAGGAAGGAGCACGGTGTTGTCATGTGGCTGTTTACCCTCATCGAATATGTTCAAAGTTATGTTAACAGGGGATCATGTATCTACACAGCATTTCTAGATAACGAGAAATCCTTTGATCGAATATGGCACTCGGGTCTCTTCATAAAACTCTATCATCTTGGTATTGGAGGTAAAATGTGGTCTCTGTTACATCACTGTTATACTTCCATGTATGCGTGTGTTCAGTATAAGGGCGAACAATCTGATGCATTTGCTGTTAGACAAGGTATAGGTCAGGGTAGAGTTATCTTAGCTTGGCTTTTTCTTGTGTACATAAATGACCTCATGACTGAGCTTCGGGAGTTACATACAGGAATATGTAGATGTAATGTTAGTTTACCATGCGTGTTAGTTGCTGATGATACTACTCCTATCAGTTTACAGCCCTAAAGGTCTACAGACAGCCTTAGATACAGTTGTTGATTACGCATCCAAATGGCGATTAGCTTACAACGCATAGAAAAGTGAAATTGTTGTGTTTCATAAAAAGAAACAATTATTGTGTAGGCATGCTTATCATTTTGGAGTTCATGACATACCTTTGTTTCATAATGTAAAATATGCGGGTGTTGTTCTACAAAGTATTTTTTCTTTCAAATTATATATTGAAGAGAACTAGACAAAAGCAAGGCTTACTATTAATTCTCTCCTCTCTGTTGGTCTAAATAGTAGTGACTTACATCAGTATGCAAGTATTAAGATATGGAAAAGAATGATCGTAACAAGTTTTTATGGATGTGAATTATTACCTCCTCTGCATGGTAAAGATCTTGAGTGAGCTGAAAGCACCCAGCGTTACTTTGCAAGGATTGTACAAGGGTTTGACAAACGTTCCCCCACTGATGCCACTATTGCTTATCTGGGACTTTTGAGCATGGTTGGCTATATAGATAAATGTAGACTACAGCTGCTGGGGCGGTAATGCAACAACTCATGTGTCTCAACTTGTAAAACTGTTTTCTGCGCATCTACGTCACTCTATCATTTTCATAATAATTTACACATTTTATGTGGGGTATTGCTTTCAACAGCTGAGAAAAATAACCTATTTCATCATGTATTTCATTCCGTTTGCAAGGGGGAACTCCCCGCGAAGATTAAGTTGAGACAGATTGTGTTAAATGAAATAACTACCCACGATGAAGAAGTATGGAAATATAAATTATCATGTAGAGCTGACCTGTTTTGATATTCTAAAATTCACACAACACTTACTCCTCATGTGTATTGTAATGCTATGTCCAGAATTGAGAGAAGAAATACAGTATGTAATAAGGATTGGATCCAGAAGCAAAATATCAAAAGAATGTACAAAAAATGTAATACTTTTGCAAATGATTATTATCATCATGTCATCTTAAACTGTGAATGTCTACTTTCAGAGAGAGATGTATTCTTTTCCACTCTAATTGATAATCTTGATGTTGAAACGTATGTTAAAATAGAGATGATGGAAGACCATGATATGTTAGCATTTTTCTTGGTGCAGATAACAATGTCATTGATGAAATATATACATATATTTGTTTGATTATTTTGTTATTTAATTACATAATCTTGATGTTTTGAGAATCTTCGGATTTATTTATCTGGAGGAAATAAAGACGTTCGTTGGTTGGTTCGTTTGTTTGTTTGTTGGTTGGTTGGTTCGTTGGTTCGTTGGTTCGTTCGTTCGTTCGTTCTGGGTGAGATGGTGAGATTAGGGTTGTGTTAAGCAGTAGTTGAATGGTTTGTAGCGTTTACTCCACACACCAGCATCACGAAGGCTCCATGTAAGCCAGTCTGAACACAAACTATGACCGCATCTACTCTTTGACATGACAAACTGTCAGCCAGGTCACACATAGTGCCCCTCTCAATCTTCAGTTTAGTCGTTATTGTCTACAAGAATGGGACACTGGAATTTACGCAAATTAAAGGAACATTAGTGGTTCCGAGTTAAGTGGCTTATTCCGCTGTGTCCATGTATATGATATATGCATGCAATGCGCTACACGACACCGAGGTGCACAAGGCATTCATTTATTACGTCTTTATTCGTCTGCAATCAATGACCGTTTTGGAAGACATTTAAAACGTAATTCGTCACATTCAACTTTCATTGCGTACTGGAGACCTATGTTTCAATTGATGTCTTTATTTTTTACCGAATGATCACCTATACTAGTCAATATGATACATGAACATAGCACACCCCACTTGGTTGAAGAGTGTACTTTGTTGATATTTTAGATTTGTGAAAATTGATATTGAATTTATATATATATATATGAGTAAATGTTCACTCGGTATACATGTAATATATAATAAAATAATAAAGTCCACGTTAGTCCATCATCAGTTTCAGACATAGTACTTTCGCTGTCTCATGAATATATATATATGAACATTTTTTGTTCAGTATAGAATATATATATTCTATACTGAACAAAAATGTTCTTGTATTGAGAGAGTTGAAGTTGTCACAGACAGATCATGTCCAGTTTGTTCTAGTGCAATGCAAAATAATTAAACATGAAACATACAAAGTGCCTTTTCTTAATTCACAAATTTAAATTGTATTTACTGTGCAATTAGTGTGACATGTATTTACGAAACAGATGTGTATCTGCCAGAAATTAGTATTATTTGACTTCTGAATTGAAGTGAATTCTTCTAGATTCGCAATATTGGAAATGAAAACATGAAAATGTTCCCTTGGTGTTTGTTAACTGGTCAGGTATAAACACAATGCTTGTTTTCACTGAACACTTCGGTTCAGTCGTGCTCGTGGGATTACAAGGTAGGACTCGTCACCGGCAACCAATCAGATGGCAGGATTCTGATCAGTCTCTTCTCTGGGATTGATGTGCCAATTAGGCTTAATTAAGTAGACAATAGCTGGTTTTAATTGCCTTTATTGGGCTGAGAGTTGTAGTTTTAGTGGATTATGTGTAGTGTATATAATAATGGTGGAATGACCAATAGACACATTAACTATTCGATATCTCTCAGTGTCGAAGCATCAACCAACAGACTTCACTATGTCGGCCACCAACACGAGTGTTCCTGGTATAGATATGTTTAACTATAGCACGGAAGAAACTGACAAATTATCCAACATGATGTCGTCGTTTTCTTCGATGCAGCAGATGTTGTCATTGGTGTCTCCAAACTCAAGTCCCGAGTCGCACATAGTGTTTACAAATCCCGGGGAAACAACTGTACCTCTTGATATGGTACAAAACGCCCTGGAGGTCTCCCCGGGAGTAGAGCCCCTGGCTATCCCATCAGAAAACGACATCAGCAACATATCATCGCCATCGTCATGTTCAGATAATGACGGCGTCGGCATTGACGTTTCCATACCGTCGACCCTCTCACAACAAAGCAGGCAGTTTTCCAACAAGAAGCCTCCCTATTCCTACGTTGCTCTCATCACCATGGCCGTCGAGAGTTCCACAACAGGCATGATGACTCTCAACGACATCTACAACTACATCGTCAAGAGATTTCCCTACTACCAAGACAACCAACGGAGATGGCAAAACTCCATCAGACACAACCTCTCCCTCAATGACTGTTTCGTCAAGGTGCCCCGACCCCCAGGGAAACCAGGCAAGGGTAACCTGTGGGCTCTGCATCCTTCTTGTGGGGACATGTTCGGTAACGGCAGTTTCCTTCGTCGTTCCAAACGTTTCAAGTCTGCTCAAAAACAACGCCAGGATGACACCACTCTTCATCAGGTCAGTCCGAACGGACAGTTTGGTCTTTACGGGGTTCCGCCCCCCTACCCAGGTTTCAACCCCCTAAGTCTCGGTCCCTTACCCCAAGGACTGACCCAGACTTATCCTTACACCACAGCAAATAGGCCTGACCCCAGTCCCTGGACTATGACATCTCCTACAGGCTACTCTCCTCCTACAGCTGGCTACTACAACGCCAGCAGCATCAACAACTCTCTGACCGGCTCCCCTCTCTCCAGCTCTCCTCCGGGATGCTCGTCCCTGGGTGGGACCTACATGCCACAGATGCCATATCCTAGTTCTCTCACAGACTTCTCACATTCATGTTACCCAGCTCTTTACCAAGCCTTGACATTTTCGAAGAGCAGTTCAGATGTTATCAGCGATTCAGTAACCAAAGCGGAAAGTGGCTGACAATCTGTACTTTTTGATCATCGACATTGAATACGTTTTTGTACCCCACTTGCATAAAAAAGTGCTATAATATTAACCATTAACATCGCTGATCCAATTGCCGTGTGGCATTCAGCAACTTCATCACAAACGAATATATGTGATCCTGTACATATGTTATAAATGGCTAATATAATAAAATACAATTATTATAGTGATTTGTATGTGTTTCTTGTATACAATTTTCAACAGCAGTATTTCGTAAGTCGTAAAGCCTCATCTGTGCTATGACAATCCCCCACCAAATGATTTCAATATTGGGAACGCCACCTGTAACTCTACATCACTTCTGACAACTTAACTTAATGGTCTATGATTTGCCTATATTTTTAGATAATAGAATTTTGTTATAACACTTGATAATGGAGTAAACACGTGTACAGTGATGGCGTTAATCTGCTATATATGTTCAGGCCTCTGTGCAGATGCATTGTCGCTTTCCCTGGCATATTTTGAAACTGACAATCGCCATCAATCTTTTACCAAGGTGATTTATTTGTGGAACAGTCTGTATTTCAAATACATCTTTACCCCCTGTCGTTAACACTATTTAGTTCAAAATACATCCGTGACCAATGAATAGCAAATATTGGAAACCGGTTCACTAACTTACATGTATGATATTATAACGTGATATTTGATGGAACGAGCTAATGATTCGTGGGAACAAAATTATATATTTCTTATCCCATTTTCGTTTTCCAGGGTCCTCGACAAAGCTCCAATTCAGGTTAATCTTTACGTGTCTGTTAAGTCTAGCTAAACTGTTTATATTTCGTTTATATTCGTATAATGTATTTTTCCTCCGTGACATCAAATGAAAGGGAAACACTCCACACTCGACTCCCATGTGAAACACCACATGTCCATCAGATCGGTAATGTGACCAGTGCCAAACCAACATCGCATGTATCAACTATAGTACCGGTACACGAACAAACACAATATATAACGGTATACATTACAGCAACTTTACTTGAAAACCTGGGTCGTATATAATTTCTAAATATATTATGAAATATGACATATATTATGATAAATTTAACTCATCATCATAATTGTCTTGACCGCTGTTGGCCCATGATAACGGTTTTGAAATGTTCAAGATATGTGACAGCTTCAACTTAAAATCTGGACAGTTTCAACTTAGTATATGCCAGGTCAACATATCCAGGGAAGTAGCGGTGTGTGTATGTGACAGTTTCAACTTAGTATGTGCCAGGTCAACATATCCAGGGAAGTAGCGGTGTGTGTATGTGACAGTTTCAACTTAGTATGTGCCAGGTCAACATATCCAGGGATGTAGCGGTGTGTGTACGTGACAGTTTCAACTTAGTATATGCCAGGTCAACATATCCAGGGAAGTAGCGGTGTGTGTATGTGACAGTTTCAACTTAGTATGTGCCAGGTCAACATATCCAGGGAAGTAGCGGTGTGTGTATGTGACAGTTTCAACTTAGTATGTGCCAGGTCAACATATCCAGGGATGTAGCGGTGTGTGTACGTGACAGTTTCAACTTGGTATATACCAGGCCAACAAATCTAGGGAAGTAACGGTGTGTGTACGTGACAGTTTCAACTTAGTATATGCCAAGTCAACACCTACAAGGAATATCACCACTGCCGCATACCAACAATTAAATATTTTTTTAAGGTGGTTAAAAGCCTTAATATTCCAATATATTCAACTAAAACCCCAACGTTAATGCAGGGCAATATATCAGGTTAATATTGACCATGAACGTTGTTTGATATTAACAAACGTTTTAGAATAAGCCTTTAGTACCGGTACATGACGAAATCGTTGGTTTTTGTTGGTTTAGACATTATGACAAGTTTAAAAGTCAGTTCTTTATATTTGTCTTTGTCTAATGTGACAGACACCTGCATTCACTTTCCATAACGATCTGCTTTGTGAAATTTCCATTAAAATGAATTTAGCTTCCTGTCAATATTCAAAATGTTTAATCGGTAAATAAAATACTTTTGGCTCCCTGCAAAATAGGATTATAACGCTTGACGCGTGCAGTCAGTCCGCTACTGTCGCCACCTCGTGCAGTAAGACAGTTGCTACCCCGCCTACGTTGATCCGGCGGGGACCGGGGTTGGAGGCTTGTGGAGGTTTTCTGGGACGAGGTCACTGGTACAAACGTTCCGACAATGGTGCATTAGAACGCGTAAGCAAACAGAATATGGATCAATATTTTCTCTTTCATGAATTAAAGTGATAATCTCGTTCTAATTAAATTACAATTAGGCTATCAAGTCACGGATTCCGTTAATCCTAATCCAGCGCTGATTTGATCTCGTTAGTCGTTTGACGACATCAAAGAAGCCGCCAAGCCCATGTTAATGCCTACAAGTGGGAGACAGCAAGCTTCATTCATGTCCTCTCACCTCGTTGTTAAGTCACCATGTTGTTTAGACACACTGTTGTTATGTCGCCGTATAGTAACTGCCTTGGTTAAAAAAAACTTATTAGTCGTGAATCTCAGTGGGGTCGAATTTTTAAAAATGAAATATAACTTTGATATTAAAACTCTTTGCTGTTTAGTAATATGAATGTTGAGTATCAGGTAGTAAAGACATGCAAAGTACTTCTGAGGTTCTAGCTTTCTTTGTGCCAATCGTTTAAACCTACATACATAAGTAGATGTTAACGAGCATGAGATGTTTAAGTCAACACAGATAATCTGTGTTTACATTGTACAATTGCACGTCCTCGGGTGATCTGTGCAGCTGAACAGCCCCCACACCTACAACAACACCAGACAGATCAGCATAGCATGATCGGCCAATGACAGCACACATTTAATTAACGCAAATCTCTTTTTCTTCTTCTATGTGTAACTTGTATTGTTATCCAGTTTGTTCGCCAAAGACACCTGAATCTGTTCTGGTATAAATGCCCAGGATGTGGAAAGTATCGACATATAACACTAAAGCATCCTGTTCTTCCCTTGGGTAAATATGACGAGTTCAGTTATGCCTTGTGTAAACCCCTTCCAGGTGTGCCGTGATGGAGACGAGAGCACCCGCTGTCTGACGCAGCAGTGGCCGTCTTCGACATCCCTCTTCACGCCGGTATCTCACCCGTCCTTACATTCTCTACCTGTACAAAGGGACGTGGACGTTAAACACAGGCCTCAGCATACGTCTGTGACAGAAAGTGGATGGAATACTACACACACGGAGACTTTGCCCAGTGACCAATATAACCTGTCAGTACACGAGGACAACAGCATCCTGCCATCACCATCATCTTCAGTATCCTCCGACAACGACGATGATATCAATCTCAGCTTTGACAGTGTGTCAGGAACGTCGACCCTCTCACAACAAAACAGGCAGTTTTCCAACAAGAAGCCTCCCTATTCCTATGTGGCCCTCATCACCATGGCCGTCGAGAGTTCCACAACAGGCATGATGACTCTCAACGACATCTACAACTACATCGTCAAGAGATTTCCTTACTACCAAGACAACCAACGGAGATGGCAAAACTCCATCAGACACAACCTCTCCCTCAATGACTGTTTCGTCAAGGTGCCCCGACCCCCGGGGACACCAGGCAAGGGTAACCTGTGGGCTCTGCATCCATCTTGTGGGGACATGTTCGGTAACGGCAGTTTCCTCCGTCGTTCTAACCGTTTCAAGTCTGCTAAAAAACAACGCCAGGATGACACCACTCTCTATCAGGTCAGTCCGAACGGACAGTTTGGTCTTTACGGGGTTCCGCCCCCCTACCCAGGTTTCAACCCCCTAAACCTTGGCCCCTTACCCCAGGGACTGACCCAGACACTTCCCTACAGCACAGCAAACAGGCCTGACCCCAGTATCTGGACAATGGGATCTCCAACAGTCTACTCTCCAACAGCTGGCTACTACAACGCCAGCAGCGTCAACAGCTCTCTGACCGGCTCCCCTCTCTCCAGCTCTCCATCAGGACCCCAAGTGGTCTACATACCACAGATGCCATGTGCCCAGTCGGACCACACCCACACAACTTACCTGGCTCTACAACAGCACTTCGCACCCAGACAGCACACAGGACATCTTTACCCAAGCCTCAGCACAGCATTAGCAAATGATCAGTGACGAAAGACTGGAAGTGGGCTCAGTAGTGCTCTGAACAATAACCATTGTACATGTATCTCACTGTTATACATTGACTATTTATATGCTTCTCCGTATGACGCCTTTGTAATATTGAATGGCACATACAGCATTTATTTATGAATAAACTATTTATTTCCAGAATTTTAAAAGTTGCTGGTTTGTTCATGGGCATTTGGCATTGCAAAATCATTTGACAGGAACAAATCTACACGACACATTCTTATCATGGCATATTGATGTATTGCTGCATTACGTTTACATAATGTATTTTAAAGAGTTGCACAGTGAGTGAGTCAGTGGGTTTTGAACAGTCTTACAGTGAGATCAGAAAACCACAGCTTGACATAAGAGCGAAACCTATATTGACATCATGTACCTCTCCCATATTAAAAACCACTCATGGTGAATTCTATTTATCATTTTCATTTCGAAATTGTGGTATGTTATGCATCCAGATATATTTATTTATTGGGAACGTGAAACAAACTTAATATCCATATACCTTCTCTGGTATTCCTGGACCCCCAACCTGATTGAACGATATGTTACAGCATATTTGCAACTTTATATATTACAACAATAACGATGCACTTTGTTGTATTTCATCATATCTGCGGTGTAATTCCACAACTTTAGTCATTCTAACCACGCTCTAACTTGTGGAGGGGGGGGGGGGGGGGGGGGGGGGGGGGGATAGCTGACAACAATACATTTTAGTCGATGTCATGTCGCTTTCAACGAAAAGTAGGCGCCGTTTGACTGGCACTGGACTTGGAGGTATAACATGATTAATGGTTTAGTTTCAGAAAGTTACAAAACCAGCAAACATCTCATGACGAGACAAAGAAAACTAGATGATTTGAGATTGCTGATTGTTGTCTCCTGGCGATTTGAACATGACGTATGCACGGGACGCTGTTATGCGACAGGGGGGTTCCAGGAACAAATCAAGCTGGGATGTTTCTGTGCTCAGTGTGTTTGATGGAATGCTTCCTGAAATTATTTTGGAAAATTGATGGTAGTTATCAGGATTTATGTGAGAGTTATGATTCACAGAATGGTTGTTCTTGTAATCAGTTACCTGAGAGTTTTGATTGGGTGGAACATTTTTGTCATTCAACCTTTGGACAAGGTGTGTACGCGGCAAAGTGATTTGTCAGTCCATCTGACGTCTGGACCCTGCCTGCTTTACACATTTTTACACATTTTGGTGGATGGTTTGACTTTCTCAGTACGACTTCCGATAAAGCATTGGTATGTAGAGTGTGTGACGGTATAAACAGCTCTTCATCATTCGCCAAGAAAATGGTCATGGGGATGTTATTTACAGTCTGTATCTGTGACCATCAGTCTGTAACCACCCGGTAACCTTCAAGAGCAGACAACAGTGTCACCCCCTGTCATCTATCAAAGGCTGTTTCCAACATCGACGTGACCAAAGGAATCCGTGTTGTTCCCTGAATAACCAGATCACGCACACCAGTGAAAAAGTGCTGTTTCCCGTTATCTAATTTGCATACTTACGTCACTGGGGTATGACATACATGTTTTTATGTCCTAGGCTTATGTCATGAACAAATACTTTAGTTTAATGATCATAAATGATATTCACTACTGACAACTTTATTAACCTTAAACGGTCTACATATTTTGGCAAACACTATTAGATTATAAAGTAACTATCCCGTGAAGGTCCGTTTTAGAATAGGTCTTCAGCAACCCACCCTTGCCGTAAAAGGCCACTATGCTTGTCGTAAAAGGCGACAAACAAACAAACAGTAACTGAAGTACAACTGAGAGTGAAAAATGATTCTGTGGTGGTGGATACTCTCGAAAAGGTATGCTGTGTTCCAACAACTGACATAACGAGTCCATGCTGCGTTTGTGTTTCTGTAAGATACGCAGTCGCAGTAAACTGTGCCAAAGGAAACACGAGAAACAGTATTTTTCAAATAAAGGATGCTATTCAATTATGCCTGTCGGAGAGGACAAAGGTCTCTCAGAAGTCATGAGGGTGTTTTTATATTATATATGTTTGATGACACTGTATTGTATAACATGAATGTTGAGGGGGTTACCTAAAAAAAGAAATTAATGCTGTTATCGGATAGCTAGTTGGTACAGAATCAAGTATCCACTAAGACAGTTAACGACGCACTTTAAATCAGCGACATATCACAGGTGCAGTCCTCGGGAGACGGCTTCATGTTTGTTCTCCGTCCACTGACATCAAAGTCAGGTGTGAACGTTTCTGGTAAATATAAAGCGCCAACGCATCATCATTAAAACCTTGTGAACTTTTCACTAATTTCAACTATATTTTTCATATTTAGAGGTATCATGAAAGGATTAAATAGTCATCATGAAAATGTCAATTTCATGACTTGGCAGGTCCATGCGCACGGAAAGAACTTTCAAACACCAATAACGCACTACAACGCTGCTCAACACTCGCCAGAAGAAGAAAACACGATTAACGTGATAAAAGAATTAATTTGAATAAGGACTACTATTATCATTCCTTCTTTACAACTCTCTTTAGGCAGAATATACTGGGAAATATCCTTCAAGTTGATCTGTTGTTTCTGGCCCATGGGTTACAGAATAGGATGGCATTAGGACAATGCTTTGCGAAATTTAATTCTATTTATTTGCAAATTGGATATAATATACTATGTTTGAAGGCGAGTGGACCACTGTCACCATAATAACCGTAACCCAGTAACCTAAGACGTGAGCGGGTTGTAACTGGTAAGTCGCCGGCCCGTGTCGGCAGACATCAAAGGGCCACAACGAAGCGCGGGCCAGGAACAAATGGTGAATTAAATGAGGAGAGACTTACGAACATTATCTTTATCCACAAATCCAACTACTAATCGCTGTCTGAAGACAGCTACACTTGCATTGTGGTCCGGATAGATCTAGTTTAGGTGATCGAATCTCGTTACCTGTGTAAAACTTTGGAAACGGTATTGGTATTGTCAAATAGTCTGAAAGACTGCCTGGTATTGTGGAAGATGAAGAGTAGGGGGAGACATCCACAACGATGATGCAGTCTAGAAACTAGTTAACGGAAGCACATATGCACATGTAGCCTAGTGGTTAAAGAGTTCGCTCGTCACCCCAAAGGCCCAGGTTCGATTCCCGACATGGGTACAATGTGAAATCCCATTTCGGGTGTCCACCGCTGTCATATTGCAGGAGAATTGCTCAAAAGCGGCGTAAACGCATGCTTACTCACCCACTCATTTATTCACAATGATACTACACAATAATGTACCCATTTTAAAGTCGTTTAAGTTTATAACTCCATGATGCTCTGAGAAATAGTATGTATTGAGAAAAGCCCAATGGTTACGGAGAACCACATTCACAAGGTGGTGGCACGGCATGCTGGATCACGCGTGTTTGCCATGTTGTCAAATACCACCGGTAAACTTTGGTAACAGCCTGAGCAACAATCATTCCGGTCTTGTTAAATTGTATTTCGCTGTTTGGAATCGGACTGAAATTCGCTTGCATACTATCTATTTTGATTTGTTAGTGTAGAACACGCCATCTCTAAAGATCACAACAGGAACAATCTTCAGCTTAACTGACACAGATTGAATGTTGCTTCTATGATCATCGATACCAACAACAGTTGGGTGCTGATTTGTTGTGATACCAATAGCTCGTTTATCAAGCCAAAAAGGTAAACCAGTAACAATTGCTCGTGTCATATATACCCACATTCGCACATTTTTGAAGTGAAATAAAAGTATACGTGTTAAGAGTACATCCAATTTCAATTTCATAGTCGGTCACGTGCATATACTTTCCATGCAAATATATAAGGATAATGACTTAATTGATTGCTCTTGTCTTACCGTGAATGGTGGTATACTCCAGTCTGTGTTTTTTTAGGTATAGTTCCTGTTAGTATTGCCATCCTTTTGAATTGCTAGCAAATATCGAACACCAATTTTCGACTTTATTGTGCACCTTTCAGTAGTCAGTGTGGGATAGTTAATATTGATTCTAGTAGTTAAAACTGACATGTTTAACAAAGCTGATCCGTGAGTGACATATTGGTCAATCATCCCCAGGGGGTTGAGGGTCCTGGGGGTACGCCGTAGCCAGTGGGTAAGGGTTTTGATTAGGGTGTGATGTACATCTTCCAGTCAGATCACAATCAGTGGAGGAGCAGGGATCTCATTACGAAAGTGTTACATGCATTGTTCCAATGGTTCCTTCAATGACACCCACAGTCATGGCCATGTAGTTACCCGGATGTACGCTGTGTCATGAACGGGTAATAACATATAGCACATGGTATATCACAGTTCTGGCCGCACGTCATATCTGCTGTACACCAAACCTGATGTCATTCATGTGTTATTGTGATCTTAATATCAAGTACGCCTTTTAAGAGTGACTCGTCTCTATTTGTGCAGGACCGCCTCCGTGGTCTTGTGGTAGAGCGTTCGGCCGCGTCATACGGAAAGACGTTAAAAGATGGTACTCGTTGTTACCCTGCCAGAGGCTCGGCATTAAGGGGCTAAAACAAGGACTGGTCGGCTCAGAGTCAGTATACTGTCAGAGTGGTGTTTTCATGTTAAACTGCGGCATGGTATCTCAGTGAGCTAGCACTATAAATCGGCATCAGCCCGGACTAGTACAAGCAGACACACACACACACACACACACACACACACACACACACACACACACACACACACACACACACACACACACACACACACACACACACACACACACACACACACACACACACGTGCATGCATGTCGCTATATATGTGCAATTTCATCGCACCTCACCTATTTGTGCATGATAGTCAGAACAATTTAACTGGAACTGATAGATACACCTTCAGCTAATCAGTAACTGTATTTTGTAGAATTGCATGCATCTATGAAAGATCTAATATTATAAACAATTTCCGAATTTAACGTATGTAATGTACACTGAAATGAACAATAGGTTCAACAATATCTTGAAATTAAAATCTTATCTTTGGACGATTCTTATGCTTATACACGTAGGGTAGAACTTGGATTGAAATGTGGTGGAAATGGCTTTAACGTGCTTGGAATATTTACCGAAGCATTTTATTTTTGCATAATAATGGCAATTCGTTGTCAGTGAACCACAGTTATCAGCAGCTACTTGTTTGTGGAGGGGAATTTACCAGCAGTCAGTTGGCACTAAATTCACTAAATGTCCCCGTTTGATCCATTCTTTTGTAATATGTTATTTCCAGTCAAATATGCTTTGTAAATTCTTTGTTCTATTTTGCTCGTAAAGTCCACACATACCCCTACTAACATATGTAACCGTTGGTATTTTCTACACGTTTTTCATAGTTTTCACAAGAAGAATCGTGTACAATTCCTACTGACAAAAGTATGTTTTTGTATGTGTCAGAGTGACAAGATGAATGACTTCAACGTTCCAAAAGTCAACCTTTCCTTTCTGTTCGAGTAATATTCCGGCAGCTCCAGCCTTTGGTCTCTACAATACACAACACTTAGGTACAATCGAACATGATCTTTGTATGAAGATTTCAAAGAGCGTCTTACGACTCAAAAGTTGTTTGATCAAAGTTACAACGTTTAAGGTATCAGTAAAGCTTTCAAAACGTTTTATGGTGATGGAGTTTCCCAAACATATGCTCATGATATAGTCGGAACCGTACAAGCTTCTCTGTTTTTACCAGAGATATATTGCGAAAATGAAAAGGGTTTTGTCGTTTTTATGTACGACTTGATTTGATACCCTGATGTGATAGCCTGGGAGTACGCTGTCTTTATATAGCACATGCTTCATATGTACATTACACTGACCATACATGTAGTAACTTATTACATCACTAACATCAGTAGAACTGCTCTTGTTCCACGATTTAAATATACTATGTCTTTAAGTGTGCATGTAATTACCCGCGTTCCTGATCGTATTTTTTTTATTTTACAATAATTTTACAGACAAAAATCGACTTTGATATGCATAAAAAAATTTGGAAATCAAATTGGATTAAACGATCTATTTAAAAGCGCTTCCCAAGCAGGAGTGGTTTAATGGTATGAACAATGGTGGGCGGAGCTTCAGATCTGGTAGCCAATAGGAATGAACGGCCAATTAAAGATATCACGCCTTCTTGTGAACGTTACCCATTCCAAATTACCCAACAATGGCTGACTAATCAAAAGACAAAGCTATCTGTATTGAGGGGATAATCTTTGCGGCGATATAAACCTAGGGATGGAGTAACGACGGTATACATTCCTGTACCTTCTCAGTTAAACCGCTGCAGAACCGTCACTTACGCAATGTTGAATCATACTAGTGTATCTCCGTATGGCAACGTGGCTGGGGATGCTGTGATGCAGGGTGAGACACCAGTGTTGCCGTCGTACATGTTGCCTCAAACATTTACAAGAGTGGCACTCACAAGGGAGACAACTGCGCCCCCAGGAACGCCGAACAGAATAGATGACATGTTCCTCGGAGAAACAGAGCGACAACAGGCAGAATTGCTCGATAACGACCCTCTGCCTTCACCATCATCGTCACCGTGTACAGATAAGGACAGCAATAACGAACTACTCATTGACACTGTCTCAGGAAGATCAACTCTCTCAAAACAAAGCAGGCAGTTTTCCAACAAGAAGCCTCCCTATTCCTATGTGGCTCTCATCACCATGGCCGTCGAGAGTTCCACAACAGGCATGATGACTCTCAACGACATCTACAACTACATCGTCAAGAGATTCCCTTACTACCAAGACAACCAACGAAGATGGCAAAACTCCATCAGACACAACCTCTCCCTCAATGACTGTTTCGTCAAGGTGCCCCGACCCCCGGGGAAACCAGGCAAGGGTAACCTGTGGGCTCTGCATCCTTCTTGTGGGGACATGTTCGGTAACGGCAGTTTCCTCCGTCGTTCTAAACGTTTCAAGTCAGGACACAAACAGCGACAAGACGACGCACTGATTCAACGGTTCACATCATACGGACAGTTTGGTCTTTACGGGGGCCCATCCCCCTACCAAGGTTTCAACCTGAATCTTACCCCCTTACCCCAGAGACTGACCCAGACACACACACCCAACACAGCAGGCACGTCTGACCCCAGTACCTGGACTTTGGGATCTCCTAGCGTCTACTCTCCTACAGCCGGCTACTACAACGCCAGTAGCATCAACAGCTCTCTGACCGGCTCCCCTCTCTCCAGCTCTCCACCAGGACCTTACATGCCACATATGCTGTCTGCCCAGTCGGGAAGCTCGCCTCTAGCTGGGACATATATGCCACAAGTGTCATCACCGAGCTCGAGTGCTATCCAAAATTTATATAATTATTCCTATCCTCAGTTGTGTCAGTCATTCACAGGAGCTTCACAGCCTATGTATTCATATGGTATGTCCAAATGAAGGCCTTGGCTGACAATCATATCATCTCAGGATCAAAAGCATCGATAATAGTGCTATCAAATTGCTTGTCATTGATGTAAAAGGCGTACAGGTACGCCACTATATAATTATATTATACATAAACTTGGTTGACACAGCAACGACTGATGTCTATGCATATATCACAAGTGACTTGAATTGTAAATGTACTCTTTCATGCTTTGATATAAGTTATATAATTATTGATATATATGTATAATATACATTCAAAAATAAATATGCTTTATCACAAAATTGTCTATTCTTGTGTAGTGGTGTTCTTTATCTCGATGTCTTTTTTGTACATCATCATGGCATCTCAATTTGTTCAGCGTGTTATCTCCCACTGCTGGATGTTGTACGTGTGTGTGTTCTCCATGCGCTGAAGCTTCAATATTGCCTCCTCGATATGGCTCAAACATCAAGTTATGATAGCTTCAAAATTGCCTCCTCGGTATGGCTCAAACATCAAGTTATGATAGCTTCAATATTCCCTCCTCGGTATGGCTCAACATCATGTGATGATAGCTTCAATATTCCCTCCTCGGTATGGCTCAACATCATGTGATGATAGCTTCAATATTCTCTCCTCGGTATGGCTCAACATCATGTGATGATAGCTTCAATATTCCCTCCTCGGTATGGCTCAACATCATGTGATGATAGCTTCAATATTCCCTCCTCGGTATGGCTCAACATCATGTGATGATAGCTTCAATATTCCCTCCTCGGTATGGCTCAACATCATGTGATGATAGCTTCAATATTGCCTCCTCGGTATGGCTCAACATCATGTTAAAATAGCTTCAATATTCCCTCCTCGGTATGGCTAACAATTCATGATATAATTGCTTCAATATTCCCCACTGGGTATGGCTGAAACATCATGTTATCATAGCTTTAATATTCCCTCCTCGGTAGTGCTGAAACATCATGTTATCATATCTTCAATATTGCCTCCTCGGTATGGCTCAAACATCATGTTATCAAGCTTCAATATTCCCTCCTCGGTATGGCTCAAACATCATGTTATCATACCTTCAATATTCCCTCCTCAGTAGTGCTCAAACATCATGTTATCATACCTGCAATATTCCCTCCTCGGTATGGCTCAAACATCATGTTGTAATAGCGTCAATATTCCCTCCTCGGTATGGCTCAAACATCATGTTATCATACCTGCAATATTCCCTCCTCGATATGGCTCAAACATCATGTTATAATAGCGTCAATATTCCCTCCTCGGTATGGCTCAAACATCATGTTATGATATCTTCAATATTCCCTCCTCGGTAGTGCTGAAACATCATGTTATAATAGCTTCAATATTCCCTCCTCATTACATTTTTAAAAGTAATCCCATATATTATATACAACGGACACATGTATCAGAGAAGGTAATTTTTAATCATTAATGTCCAAAGAAGGATTTTAATTAACGGTGGTAACCATAATTTGTTCCAAGCACCTACGGTATTCGGTAATAACATCAACAGTTTAAACCATAAGTCCCAAACACGAGAATCTGATGGCACACAAGTTCAGTAGCATGTATGGCCACCATGTGCGTTGACAACTGCCACACAACGCCTCCGCATGGACCTTGTGATGCTTGTGAACACATGATTGGGAAGACGACGCCATTGTTGCTGCAAAATGGTTGGTTCTGGAGAGTGCGCAGACTTCTGCCAAGGGCATCCCAGACGTGTTCGATGGGATTGAGGTCGGGAGACCTTGACGGCCAGTCCATGACGTTGACTCATTCTGAAGGAAATTCCTTGTCAAAATTGCTGTGTGGGGTCTGGCATTGTCGTGTTGGAAGATCAAACCGGGTCCATGTGCTGCCATAAAAGGCAGAAGTTTTGGTGCCAGTAACTGGTCGCGGTAAGCAGCAGCGTTGAGGTTGCCACGGATGACAAGAAGCCTGGAACGTGCATTGCCACAGAAAGCACCCCACACCATGACACTTCCGCCTCGAAATCTGTCAACTTCCTGTACACAACACTGGGCGTAACGTTCATGACGGCGCCTCCACACCCTCGCCCTACCATCCGCAAATCGAAGATTAAATCGGGATTCATCACTGAAGACGACTTGATTCCAATTCCTCTGAGTTCATCGTAAGTGTCGCTGTGCCCACAATTGACGTTGACGTCTGTGTAATTGAGTCAGAATCGGCCCGCAGTATGGCCATCGTGCTTGAAGGTGAGCCGTTCTCAGACGGTTTCGAACAGTTTGCGCACAAAGTCTACCCCTAAACAGTTCATTTCTGGTTGATGTAGCCGTCAAGAATCGGTTACGGAGGTGACGTAAGACAATCTGACGATCCTCTGCATGTGATGTCACACGTGGTCGACCTGGCTGAGGGCGATCAGCGGTGGTACCCGTTTGCTGTAGAGGCGTCTGTAAATCATAAACAGTCCGTCGACTACAACCCATCGTCCTTGCGACTTCAGCTACGGACGTTCCCGTCTGCAACATGCCGATGGCACGTTCACGTTGCACATTTGAAAGGCGTGGCATGACAAATGGCCGTAAAGACTTTTGTTTTCTTGTGTTTTTCTTTTCTTGTTAATGACTGCTAACAAGTATGGCTGAAAACACGTGCGGTATTATGGCCACGTGACCAGTTGCACGTGAAAAAACACTTTTGCCACTATAGTGCTGTGCACATGATTTTGATCGATTCACCTGCACAAAAACGGGTGTTATCTGAAGACAATACGTGGCCATGACTGGTCAAATTGTTAAAATTTTAGGATTGTGAAGTGTTTAATTTGGTTCAGTATATATCCACAAGGCATTGGAGTTTATTTTGCCATATCTTTAACATGTCATGGAAGATGTCTTTTTTCTCTGACGTGCTGGTCAGTGTACCCAATAATAAGTTGATCTCCATCGAGCGACGTCATAACCTAGATTGCAGCAAATGAAGTTTCTTTTCACGCGTTGAATGTAATTGCGAGGGTATGGAATCAGCGATGGTGTTTGGCTATAAACATCCAGCGTGTATGTAAACGCATGTAAACCCAAGCTCTCAACACTACATTCTCGTGGCTACCTCCTGACACCTTCACTGAAACCATGTCTGTTTTATGGCTATGTCCGTTTCACACACAGGCCATGTACCATGCACATTGACATTAGACGCTGCATCAAGCCAGAACCAAACGATCAGAACACAGCCACAGAAACTGATATACTTCACACTTAGTTGATTTAGTCATGGAAGAAATTTCAACAAAGTTGCTATTTTCCAGTTAAGGTGTAATTTTAATCTAGATTTACTTTGAAATAGTATTAGAATACTTGGTCGCGTGCAAAGATCCCTCAATGTTGTCATTTTACAAAGATCAGGTATACGCTCCTGTGTGCACAGATCCCTCAATGTTGTCATTTTACAAAGATCAGGTATACGCTCCTGTGTGCACAGATCCTATGTAGTAGTAGTAGTAGTAGTAGTAGTAGTAGTAGTAGTAGTAGTAGTAGTGTCACATGCACTTGTACATTACATGTACATTATACGTAGATTATACATATGACGCACAGTGAATCCAGTCAATAATTGACGTATATACACAAGTCATATAGAACGCATTAACACACATGTAGTAACTTATAACAACAAATATGTTGTGACATTGTTTGCCGTCTTTTAAACATCTTAAAAAGTATTGAACTTAAACTATTTCGAAAATGTATATTATTTAAAGACATATAAACTATTGAGTTGGTCCTACACCAAAGGTGACTTAAGATCCTCGTCACTTAAAGTAAACAACAGATTATCACTATTTTGGTTTTGGTTTTCATGTAGTGTGGTCGGATTACACTAAGCTGCTTGTTGCTTTACCGGAGTATCACGGGAGGGTGTCTGTATATGCTGAGGAACAAGACACCTTCACTTTGATGCTTGAGCCGACAAGAAACAAGGACTTGGCAATAGATAAATAATAGACTCTAACGTGCTGTGTCTGATATGGATCATCACGTGGTGACTTTGTTCATTTCGGGAAGGTAATCAAGTGGAAACAAGTCTTCTCAATTTGATGTGTAAATATTAAACGAAACAAACTGACGTTAAGATTTCAACTCTTTGATACAGCAAGATGGTGTCCTGTATGTACAAATGCGTATGAAGACGGTGGCCAGTGACATTAACCATTCGATCGCCGATCATGTTTAATTAGATGACATACGATAGTAAACTTCATGTGGGTATAAATATGTATTAGACACAATTATGATATTCAGTATTTCAGGCCGTATGGTCATAAGTACAGTTTGTCTTACATATATGACTTAGTCACGTGAATTTGTAGAACATTTTCACCTTACAGAAAATACATTGCTCCAGAAAATATCAAACGATTTTATAGTGTTTTCGGAATTGAGAATTTTTATACGCAACCGATTTATATTTATATGTTTTTTTCACAAATCAGGAATGTATGTTTACAGCACAATTTATTCAGAATTAAATTCTTTATTTATTAATGTCATAAATAAATCGCACACTGTATTACTAGAGTGTTAGTAATTGAACAAGTCCATCTTGCGGGGAATTGTTCGGTAACGGCAGTTTCCTCCGTCGGCACAAAAACAACGTCGAGAAGATCCTTCATTCCATCCTGCCAGTCCCTACGGACAGTTATGCGGGTTGTATAGTGGTCCATCTCCTTACACAAGTTTCAACCCCCTGAGTCTCAGCTCCTTACCCCAGGGACTGACCCAGACACACCCCTACAGCACAGCTCCTTACCCCAGGGACTGACCCAGACACACCCCTACTGCACAGCTCCTTACCCCAAGGACTGACCAAGACACACCCCTACAGCACAGCTCCTCACCCCAGGGACTGACCCAGACCCCCCCCCCCCCCCCCCCTACAGAACAGCTCCTTACCCCAGGGACTGACCCAGACACATCCCTACAGCACAACTCCTTACCCCAGGGACTGACCCAATCACACCCCTACAGCACAGCTCCTCACCCCAGGGACTGACCCAGACACACCCCTACAGCACAGCTCCTTACCCCAGGGACTGACCCAGACGCACCCCTACAACACAGCTCCTTACCCCAGGGACTGACCCAGACACACCCCTACAGCACAGCTCCTTACCCCAGGGACTGACCCAGACACACCCCTACAGCACAGCTCCCTACCCCAGGGACTGACCCAGACACACCCCTAAAGTACAACATGTAAACCTGAGCCCAGTATCTGGACTTTGGGATCTCCTACAGTCCAATCTCCTCTAGTCCTGCACCATGACCGTGGAATATATTTATTCTATGAAAAATAAATAAATCTAGAAACGCATACAAAAGCAAGTCTAGGCAGCTCTAGCTAGCTCTATTCCACAGCATAGGGAAATATTGTTTTTATTTTTAGAGTTAACTATCAGTTGATATTGAACCTACGCGTATTGACTATTGTGACAAGTGAATTGAGACACTGTATACAACCACATATACACACGGGGCGGTCGGGTAGCCTAGTGGTTAAAGCGTTCGCTCGTCACGCCGAAGACCCGGGTTCGATTCCCGACATGGGTACAATGTGTGAAGCCCATTTCTGGTGTCCCCCGCCGTGATATTGCTGGAATATTGCTAAAAGCGGCGTAAAATCAAACTCACTCACTCACTCACTCACATATACACACCTAGTGTCATTGAATGTTTATCCCGTTTATGAACAGAAATTCCACTGTTAAATAAAATGTACTTTTTTCTATTTACATATGAATATATATATATATATGTATTAATAAAAATCTTTTTAACATTTCTCTTTTTTTTCATATGTGAATTCCAGTGTTCGTTTTACTGTGCGATCACTCAATCGTTTTTAATCCCTGTTAAGTAAGGTCTTGTCGGGTAGGTTGGTTAGACATGCCCGTCTGTCAATGAAACGTATTCGTCATTATTGGTATTGGTAGTAGCTACATCTACGAGATACACAGATTCCTACAGCTGTGTAGTAACTCGACGAACCTACATCATGATCTGGCATCAAGGAAACAATCTGCAGAAGCGACACCTGGCGATTGTTACGTGAATACCGCTCGCTGATTCAATATTTATACTAGACTTTAGCCCACGACAATGGGCTTACAGTGACTGGTCACAGACTATTACTTGTGCTTGACCGGCTTACATGATTCTAGCTCCGGCGAAACTGTGTAACATTCGTCTTGCAATTCTTCAAATGTTTCGTCCAAAAAATGTGACCGGCCATTCATCTGCTTGTGTCAGTACTTTGTGTTCAATGTTATCAAGTGCAAATTCAATAACAGTAACAATTACATAATGCATTCACATAAAATCACATGTAAGTTGTCTACAGATATATACAGACATTTAAAATAGAATTTTCAATATTTAAAAAAAGAAATTCTAACAGGAAAAGGACTTCAGTCAATTTTGATAGATTTCAAATTGGAAAATGGCTGTAGCGGCATATTGTCTTAATTCTACCAATTTCAAGAACATGACATGGATATTTACAGCTTGACAGCACGTCAAGCACAATGAGATTCACAATCTGGAAACTGCCGTCTGTAAGGCATTACTATCTGGGATTTCCCAGCAATAGTGTAGCGTCTGTGAAATCATGGAAGGTGAGATGTGTATCTACCTAAATGAAGTTTCTTCAGTGTCTTACAAACACTCTGTGATGTAGTTTGTTTGCCCGGCTTGTGTTGAGTAGATGTCATTGTAGTGTTCTTTGACCATGCAACACTATGATACTTCAGTGTGAGTGTGTTGTTCAGTGTATGGAATATGATAACGCTCAATGCTGTGTTGGGGTGACGCCTGCTTTATCATTAATCCTGCTGTACTAAAGGGTACTTCTGGTTTGTTTCTGCTTCACGAAATATACCAGATCCTTCCCCCTCACCAACAAACGACGTACACTGTTCTGCAGTGATTAGTGTAACATAAATCAAACATTTCCAATCATGGTATATTTAACTTCAAGAAACATTTTCCTTGGATAAATGTGATAGCTACGCGATTAATTGCAAAGGGCAATGAAGAACGAAGAGTGGTATTTTTCACGATAAAACATTGTTCGATCATTATTCCATTTCTGGAGATTTGAATATGTGCTCGCAATTTGATGACGTCATATATTGGACGACGTTATTTTTTAGAGGGAAATGTCTAGTAAGTTGTTCCCCATAGATGTAGCTGGGCTGCGAGACAAACGCAGTGGCCGGACGATCGCATACTAAAGCGGGAGAGATATGACAATTGGTATGAGGAGAAAAGGTGTAGACAATCGACGTGAGGATTGTGAGAATATTCGGGAAAAAACAAACTTAATCCACCTGTTCGTAAAATGGACTTTTCCGTTGTCGGATTCTATTCTGGGAGTGATCATTATTAAAATGTGGTTTAATATTGTTAAAGCTTGTACACTTTTTTCAACATCCTTAAAGAGGCCGTAAATAATGTTGATGTCACACATAAGAAAAAAAACAAGATTTATATTTCGGTCTTCTGTGATATTGGATTCTGGCGTCTGGCGTCTGCATTGTCCCCTGCCGCTGTCGCCACCGTACTTACTCTGATTTCAGTATCGGGGCGATAGAAAGGGAGAAATGCAGTTTTACAGTAATCCATTTTGGAAATACGGTAGTCAATAGCCAGTTGATAAAGGGCGGCCGTGCTACTGACGGTGAATTAGGAAGCGTAAGAAAACAATAACTGCATCAATATTGTACTTGCTATGAACAACAGTCATAATCGGTATTTGATAAAACAATAGATTTTCTACATGTGGCTGGGCCTTCGAATCTTAATCCAGTTTCCTTTAAATCTTGTTACCTGGGCGGCTTCATCAAAGCATGTGGTGTTTTTCTAACATGTTCACGAACACCTCTAACATAATTGCTAAACCCCATGTAATGAACAGCATTGGGTGACAATCACATGGAGTTTGTCACCTTTACCAGATGATTTCATCAACTGGTATTCCACTTTCCGAGAAGCCAATCTCTGTAACACTTTCAGGTGTGCAATAATACACACATGTGCTGTAATAGAAGCAATCGATATAAGGAGGAAATATCTGTTGTTCAACTAAAACTGCAATGATGTTGCATTACTACCTGTAATGCTATCCCTTCCTCCTGGGTGTACAACATTAATATGACCATACAAATGTTTTGAATAATATAGACCTCTAAATAAAGAAGTGTTAATCTAGCTCACTATTTACAGAGTTGAAATATTCCGACAAACAGTATACACTATAACGTAGGGACAATTTCACAGTTTGTACAACATCATTTGTCCAATGAAGGGATCTAAATTTAATTAAGAGAACTGCTGACACAGATTATGCGTTGTTTCTGTAATGATCGATGCTGACAACCCGAGAAGTGTGATGCTGCGTGTTTATTGTGACGTCAGTAAGTGTAGAGACAACACATTAACTGAGTCATTAAGGCTCCCCGATACGATTACTTGCGTCATCCTTCACCAACATGCCACATCACTATTCTCTGAGCATTTGAGTATTTTTGCAATGTCCATGTTTAGCCTAAAATATCCCCTTCGTGCATACAAAGTCATAGCTTGAATATTAGAAGACGAATAGATTCTATTGCGATAATTTAAATTATTATCATCATTCCACTGACAACAACAAATGGAAAATACCTTGTAACAAATGAAAACTTGAGCAACAACTATATCAATATATTGGCCTGTTAATTTGTTTTTAATCATTCATTCTCGTACATTGTTCAGACAAAGGGGTATGTATGTAGGAGGTGTACTTGTACAAGATCTTGATACCACTCAGCTGCTGACACAGATTGGGTGTTATTTCAGTGATGATCGATACTGAATTGTTGTGATGTCAATAAGTGTAGAAACAACCTTTTAACGAATCCCTACGTCTCCCCGATTCGATTACCGCCTCCATGGCCCGTGACGTATCCGACATGTGGTGGTTATGTCACTTGGGACCATTCACTTACAACACATACATATGCCCAGCCTATCCCACTAAATATGTCACCAGGTGTCGCTGGTTTCAAAATGTACATACAGGTCACCATCACTCATTATAGTTCGACACAAAGATATGCCGATCCTTTGATCATAAATGTAGTGCATGTATCCCTCCTCTCATAGCGGGCTGTAGTGTATCCATTTACAGCATCTAATTTACAAGAACATTGGAATTATGATACCCAGCTCGAGATACTTGCCGTGAATCAAGACAAACAATTTAACGTATTTTGATACGTAGAATACGTCTTGTTCATTTGGCCTTTACCTTTACTTTTATCATCTAGACATATATTTGGTAAAATGTAATTTGTTCTACAGGGTTATGACATCAGTGTTGATTTAAGCTTTAGAACTTGACATGTACTTGATCCCCCGAGGGCTACTGGAACCCTATGGATATAGGTTGAGCTGCCTCAGTGAAAAGAGGGGTAGGAAAGCCTTTATCAAAATGTGTACTTATGTAATTACAAGTGTTGCCTTGTGGCCAAAATTCCTTTGTGTTATTCATCTAATGTAGAAACACATTCATCGCCATATATATTTTATTCGGCTTATGGTTTTTTGTGGAACATTAATTTAACTATGGTGAAGAGAAGTAGGTAGACATTTTTCACAGTATCATACATGTTCATTATGCAGGCTAGAGGTTCCTATCAATGTGGAACAAATGATTGGTCTGTAAGTAGGTAGGCGGGACTTATGTTTACCAGTAGCCAATAGCATCCGGGCGCATTATACACTGGCCACACCTCCTGTAATTCACCGAGAGTAGTACAGTCCAATTTACAATATAACAATAGATTCTCTCTCGGGGAGCAAATTGGAATTGTAAGATGTTTTCTTGGGGGATTAGTACAGGGATATATACTCCGCCGACAAATGTGAAGGCATACAGTCTCACTGTTACTCAGTTATAACACACTGGGTTTTCTGAGATAACAAAATGTTGTTCAATCCAGCAACGTTTCAGTATGGAAATGCCGTTGCCGACCCAGCTATGGCAATGACGATGACACCTCCATATGCAACACAGCTTCCTCCTTCGTCCAAGTTCCAGGTCGAGTCATATGTACCTTTACGTGAAGCTGACGTCAGGCCTGAACTCTCTCCTAGAGACATGAGGGAGTCTCTTCAACAGCATCGAGTTCCAGGCGGCGATCACAACACCTTGCCTTCACCATCTTCCTCACTGAGCTCCGAAAACGATGAGGAAGAGGACCCAAGTCTAGACACTGTCCCAGGAACGTCAACTCTCTCCCAACAAAGCAGGCAGTTTTCCAACAAGAAGCCTCCCTATTCCTATGTGGCTCTCATCACCATGGCCGTCGAGAGTTCCACAACAGGCATGATGACTCTCAACGACATCTACAACTACATCGTCAAGAGATTCCCATACTACGAAGACAACCAACGGAGATGGCAAAACTCCATCAGACACAACCTCTCCCTCAATGACTGTTTCGTCAAGGTGCCCCGACCCCCAGGGAAACCAGGCAAGGGTAACCTGTGGGCTCTGCATCCATCTTGTGGGGACATGTTCGGCAACGGCAGTTTCCTCCGTCGTTCTAAACGTTTCAAGTCGGCACAAAAGCAACGTCGAGAAGATCCTTCATTCCATCCTGCCAGTCCCTACGGACAGTTATTGGGGTTGTATGGAGGTCCATCTCCTTACACAAGCTTCAACCCCCTGAGTCTCGGCTCCTTACCCCCGGGACTAACCCAGACACACCCATACAGCACAACAGGCAAGCCTGACCCCTGTATCTGGACCATGGGATCTCCTACAGGCTACTCTCCTACAACTGGCTACTACAACGCCAGCAGCATGAACAGCTCCCTGACCGGCTCCCCTCTCTCCAGCTCTCCCCCGGGAAGCTCGTCCCTGGCTGGAACCTACATGCCTCAATGTTCATCTTCCAGCTTTGACAGGTCTAGAAATCCCTATGACTATTTGTACCCTAGTGTACATCAGTCACTCCCCAGTGCTACTAAGTCCATGCAACCCTCGGGAAACCAGTACACTAACATTATGTAATCATTCTGGTGTGGTACTGATGTATCATCACTACAAAACCAAAGTGCTGTTGAGTGTGGTCCAACTGTGAAAGGAAGCTCCGTTTATTACCATGCAAACTATTCTTAGTTTCATTGCACAATACGGACATATATCATGACTTACAGGTGGGTGTACACTTGTAACCATGTTTTGTATTGTACACTGTATATGTTTTCTTGCATATTTATTATAAAATGAATAAATATTCAGTGAATAGATTACATTTTTGTCTCTTAATATCACCACTGTTCGGCAGATTGGTTTCAAATCAAATGAAATTTCATCGGAATCGAGCACTGCAGCATTTTCAAGACATTGTATCCCTTTGTTCAATATTCTCTTCGGTGCCTTTAGCCTCAGTGATACGGAAGAAGATGAAAATTATTTTATGAGTGTGTCTCTCATACTATATATAATGCAAGTATGACATTAAAATAATTCATACAAATACGGCAATGGGCAAACCAGCAACGCATATACGTAATCTACACATTGATATTGATCTGCTGGTACTTAAAACATGATAATACAAGATGCATATAGTGGTTAAAAGAGTTTTCACAGTCTAGGTAGCGCATTATTTACTTTTCTTCGTTTAAACATTTGGGATGACAATGGGGCTAGTGGTTTTACAAGCCTATCGTTCAGCTGTAAGGATACAGTTTGGTCGACATTCATGAGATACCAAGTCACTCCTCGAATTGGAGTAAACACTACAGCCAGATTGACTATGTACTTCATCGTCAATTGTTCTATTATTACAAAGCTTACAGATTTTATCTGGGAATGTAAATTTGGGGCAAATACATCTACGAAGTTTAAATTCTAGTGGCAGAGTATCCCAAGGCAATTTAATCATGATATATGTTTGGTTAATATTATGTTAGTGCCCATTTCACCATGGACAGCTAAAGTTGGGGTTGTTAGTGCCTACTACTATGTAGACTACTGAGATGGGTTCTGCACAGCATCAATACAGCTAATATCCCCACTACTCCAAGCTTGATAACCATAGGACAAAACAAAACAAGCTGGACTAAATTGTCATTCAAGTATTACAAGATTGATGCCCTTTTTGCAGATTTCCATCTAATCAGACTCCCAAATACTGTATGCATTGGTACTTTCAACTTCACAGCAACCAATGGCTAAGTTAATTTCAGACGTTTTAACAGATTTTGGGCGGTAATGAAACATTTGGATCTTCTAACTGTTTGCAACAAATGCAACTCAGTCTAAAAGAAAACGTTCGATTTTTTTGTATAACAACGTCTGGTTTACTGCATATAGCGACGCCTGCTTGATAACAGCGTAAGAATCAATATCAAAAACGTTGCTAAAAGCAGTAAACCAGAAGATGTTATCCATAAAGTTGTACGTTTTCTTTTTCACAAACAGTCTAGCATTCGCCGTAATGACAGTGAGAGCGACATAGCTGGAATGGGGTTGGTTGTGGTGTGAAGCAACAAGTTGATAGAAGAAAGAAGAAGAAAAATGTTTTATTAACGTGTCACTGGAGGCATAAAAACAGTAACATAGCAAATATGGCATAAATTAAAAATACATCCACCGACCAGCATTGGCCAATGTATTGACACGAATATACGTGTTACATCAATAGTTAACATATAAAATATACATCAATGTATTAAAACGGGATTAATTGAGTAGTGACGTGATGTCAAGAGAGTATGTGACAAAGACGCTTATGCATTTTTGTTAGTAATACATTTTTGTTAGTAAAACGTATTACATAGTGAATCATTATTCATTATATCATTAAACTGGTCTGCTGGATTAAGTTGTAGGAAGGAGGGATCTAAACTAGGAATAGAATTAAACAATTTGTAACGTAGGTCTGAGTAAAGATCACAAGTTACAAGAAAGTGTATTTCATCTTCAACACAGTTGGTACAAAACTTGCAGAGTCTATTTATTGAAGGTGTTACAGGTTGTGTGTTTCTCCCTGATTCAATCTCTAAAGGCAGGGTTCCACACCGGAATTTACTCAGAATACCTCTTTCATGTCTATCAAGTGAAGCACTGACATACTTCTCAATATCATATCTCCCGATGTGTGCGTCATTAACTTACAGTCTGCACGTTGGGTCATGTCGTTATGTACTAGGTAGTCAAGAGGTGACAATTACAAAAGGTACCTCATGCTACATTACACAGTTGAGTTGCAGTTTCTGTACAAACAACTTTTCTCAATTAACTTGTTCTTGTTTGGACAATTGTGGAACCAGCAATAATCCGGAACTAACGCATGAAAAAGACTAGTTTAACTATATGACCGTTTGTAAATGACGACAGGTCCGCTACATATGATCGTTATACATACGGCCGACCTATGTTGACACCTGGTATGTTATTATGAAAATATCTGATCATTCAAACAAGGACGTTCTGTGATCGGCAGATCAGAAGCGATTTAAACAGTTAAGCTACCATATCCAGAAACTAAACGTTACTTAATTTAATTAACTAATTGTAGAATCTAAAATATAGTTTGTACCTCTCATATAAATGTAAATTAGAGAGTGAGTGAGTATGGTTTTAGCAATATTCCAGCAGGGGGGGGGGGGGGGCACCGGCGGCGGGGGACACTGGAAACGGGCTTCGCACATTGTACCCATGTCGGGAATCGAACCCGGGTCTTCGGCGTGACGAGCGAACGCTTTAACCACTAGGCTACCCGACCGCCCCACCTGGTTATGTGATACTATATATTTATTTTCTATAACCAAAGCATAATTCTTCAATCCCCAGAACACGTGTATGGTTGTTTTCTTAAAGAGCTTTAGTGGAGTGAATAAGTGTATCGCCTTTCGTCCGTTTCAAGTTTTCACTGGAAATAAGAACATAACAAAATGTTTACGGCTACTGGTCACAAGGCTGTCACTAGGGTCTGAGTTTCACCCCACGAAGAACATATGTAAAGCTTTGTCCTTGAAAGACACCCAGCATCAACCAGTCTTCTGGTTGTTCATTTTGAAGTCGGAAGATTGTTTCTGTAATTTAATTCGAATTTCGTTAAAGCGATTTAAATTTCGCCATCCAAGAAGGAACGTCCTTGTCGCCATCTTACTTACCGCGATGCTAGACCTTAACGACCGTATAGGTAGATAGGCCTGTGTCGGTATTCCACTCTGTGAAGGGAATACAGCGCATTGTTACAACTAAATCTTATTTAGAAAGACAAAGCAAACTGTAATTGGATCAATATTGTACTTACCACAAACAACAGTCATAATCTGTATTTGATAAAACAATTGGAATTCTATATGTCGTCGTCAGTTTTAATCCTAATCCAGTTCTGATTTGAACCCCCTTTCTTGGGTGGTCACATGAAAGAGACTCACACAGATCTGGTATTAAGGTAACAAGGTGATGTTAGGTGATGCCCAGTCTTTAATAGACTGCATCATGTTTTAACTCGAAGAATGGGAGAGACTGTTCAAACATACAGGTATCTTGTAAAGATGTGTTCTGTGCCATTGTCATCAGAGCAGGACGAACTCATGGGACAGATGAAGACTGTAGATAGTTAATTCGAAGTTGAGAAATATCGACTCATCATAATGAATGTAATAGAGCATCTAAAGAAAAGACCAGACAAGCATTTTTTGTTCGTTCACACATACAATGTATAGTAGTCAGTGAAAGTGTCATCAATATCCCCATTTGGATATTAAGTGTCACTCCAAGTGAAGCTGCTGACATAGATGTTGTTTCTGGGATGATCGATTCAGACAAAGTGTTGTGTTGAAATGTTGTGATGTAAATAAGTGAAAAGACAACCCATTACCCGCGTCATACGTCTCCCCTCTACGATTACTCGTGTCACAATTACCCCTGTGTAGTCACAATTACTTCTGTGTAGACACAATTACCCCTGTGTAGTCGCACTTTATGTTGCGCGTGGTTCCCTACTTCAAAACATTCTATGAAATCTCCCTAGTTGGTGTCATTCGACACATTTTGTTTACCTGCTATCTTAATATAATCTACACGTGAGATCAAAATTAGTTTCCATGAACAAGCAATGACCAACTCCATGGTGTCAGTTTGCACTAGCACAGTTGCTCATTGTTCTATCATCTATTTTAGATAAGCAGAAATGTTTGCAAATTCTGACTCTGAGCCGACCAGTCCTTGTTTTAGCCCCTTAATGCCGAGCGCCAGACAGGGTAACAACAAGTACCATCTTTTAACGTCTTTTGGTATGACGCGGCCGGGGATCGAACCCCGGACCTTCCGCTCTCCGGGCGGACGCTCTACTACTAGACCAAGGAGGCTGTCCGATACATGAAACAACAAGCTATTGAAATATAGATGGTGTTTATATAACCACGTGTTGTCTCAAACATTCTGTAAATATCCATAACGTACGAATGTTAGACAAGATATTGCAAAGGGACACGTCCTTTGTAATTCTACTGTGGACGAGTCCCTGGTTAATGACGTATCCCAAATCTAACAAACATAAAATGTCTTCCCAAAGCCTTCCCGGACATGTTTTGTAAAGCGTGGAAATAACATAAGAATGTTGTTTATTATTGTGTCAAACAACACGCCGTAATCATTTACATACAATAATACATACATGTGTATATTCAAATATTGACGATAGACGGTGAGTTGTCCTGCTAAAATGACCTAAGAGACACATAAAAGCAAATAAATACATAAGCAAATGATTTTTAAAGTAAATTATATACATTAAAAGTACTAGAAGGACGTGTTATTTAAGAACATACAGATTCAAATGTAGTTTGGCCTACGTGGGACAAACTCCAGGGTCGGGCGTGGCACGTATTCACAAAAACTCTTCGTCCGTTTGTACATAGAGGATACAGCTGCGGCAAGCGATGGAACTAACGCGTCACACTGCATTATAAACACAGCTTGGTTAGTGGGAGACATACTCTAAAAAGTGCTTACAGTAAAGTGGCTTTGCAGCCTAATTCTGAGATCTGAATATAATTCATAATTGATCAAAAAGTGAGTTTCATCCTCAACTTCGTGATTATCATTGGATACTTCGTCCCGCCCCGTCAGCACGCTGATAGTTGTTCCGTAATTATCAACACTGACAACATGAGAAAATGCATATAAAGGTTATTAACATGTCATTACATCTGCAGAGGCAAGCACATCTTTTCCTTCAATTGAGTTCCCTGGGCAGATTCTGCTTTGACGCCATATATAAAACATTTCTCTATTTTGCTTGAGAAACACAGTTTAGTGATATAATTTTAACAGCTGAATGTGCACCCTCCATTAGTTCCGAATCTAAATTGACGTCAATATTGATTATGGTATCAGTACTTGAACATGACCCCATATGGACAAGGGACCCTAAAGCACGTCAAGCGAATCCCGCGGGTGTTGATTTAGATATGAACAGAATAAAACGAAAGATATTATCTAGGCGTTCAATTTCTAATCAGATGTGTTAGCCACATGTATGTTGGACTACTAATTATAACGTTTAAGTAAAGAATGTCAGTAAAGATAAAAGTAACATGTTGTGAGGTATACATAGAACTCCACGTCACATGGTAAACATTTTTCAGTCCACAAAGGCTCATTTATTCACCAAAGCATGGACTACAAGGACAACATGGCTAAAACTATACACTCGGGAAGTGTTGTAACCCGACGAACAAAGAGGCGTCGACATTTGGGGCGCTGCAGACAAGTAGGCGGAGTTATTGTGAGCCAGTAGCCAATAGCAACTCGTAACAGTGACACTGGGTTATCTAGACACACCTCAAGCAGGTCGATGTGGTGTTGGTCCAATCAATTGTACATAAACAATTAGCTATCCAATTTATATTTTCCAACAGCATCGAGTTCCAGGCGGCGATTACAACACCTTGCCTTCACCATCTTCCTCACTGAGCTCCGAAAACGATGAGGAAGAAGATCCAAGTCTAGACACTGTCCCAGGAACGACAACTCTCTCCCAACAAAGCAGGCAGTTTTCCAACAAGAAGCCTCCCTTTTCCTATGTGGCTCTCATCACCATGGCCGTCGAGAGTTCCACAACAGGCATGATGACTCTCAACGACATCTACAACTACATCGTCAAGAGATTCCCTTACTACCAAGACAACCAACGAAGATGGCAAAACTCCATCAGACACAACCTCTCCCTCAATGACTGTTTCGTCAAGGTACCCCGACCCCCAGGGAAACCAGGCAAGGGTAACCTGTGGGCTCTGCATCCTTCTTGTGGGGACATGTTCGGCAACGGCAGTTTCCTTCGTCGTTCTAAACGTTTCAAGTCAGGAGACAAACAGCGACAAGATGAAGCCACCGTCCAACGGCTCAATTTCTATGGCCATTCAGGTTTCTATGATCGTCAATCGCCATACCAAGGTTTCAACCCCGTGAGCCTTGTCCATTTACCCTCGGGACTGACCCAGACACACCCCTACAGCACAATAGGCAAACCGGACCCCTGTATCTCGACCATGGGATCTCCTACAGGCTACTCTCCTCCTACAGCCGGCTACTACAACGCCAGCAGCATCAACAGTTCTCTGACCGGCTCCCCTCTCTCCAGCTCTCCATCAGGAAGCTCGCCCCTGGGTAGGGCGTACATGCCTCCAGGGAGCTGCCCAAGATCCACTATTGATGAAAACCTCCATTACTGTGTGTCCCCACATCCACGACAGTCATTCAGTGCCGTACCCTCCTTCAGAAACCTGCAACAACATCCCTGAATAACAAGACAACGACTCTTGTACCTATAGTGCTATTCACATTGATTTGTGGAATTAGTGTTTTGAAAAATTACATACATTGCAGTTTTTAGTTTTTGCATACACTGTCCCTGTGGTTCGAATGTTAGTGATAATTATGTGCGTTATTAAAGTTAATATGCTGCAAACCGCCATGTCGTGTGTTTCTGATATACAGTAGTACATGTATGTATGTGCATGTAAAATTATGGGTGTAGGAAGGACGGTGTTTGAATGTCCCCAGAATGTGTCCGTTGAATATTTCTTGAATAATGCTTGTACATAGGTATATACTTGGAATATATGACAGACTAGGCTGGGAGAAGATTTATGAGTATTTTACATGATATGGAGGGAGTAATTCCGGATAGACAGTCTGGGATTGCTGTAAGGACAGGGCAAGGATTGTGTGTATGGAGATATACGATATGTGTGTGTGTGTGTGCGTCTGTCTGTGTGTGTGTCTGTCTGTCTATGTGTGTGTCTGTCTGTGTGTGTGTCTGTCTGTCTGTGTGTGTATATATATATATATGTCTGTGTGTGTGCGTCTGTCTGTCTGTCTGTCTGTATATATATATATATATATATATATATATATGTGTGTGTGTGTGTGTGTGTGTGTGTGTGTGTGTGTGCGTCTGTCTGGCTGTGTGTGTGCGTCTGTCTGTCTGTCTGTATATATATATATATATGTCTGTGTGTGTGCGTCTGTCTGTCTGTGTCTGTCTGTCCGTCTGTGTGTGTATATATATATATATATATATATGTGTGTGTGTGTGCGCCTGTCTGTCTGTGTGTCTGTCTGTCTGTCTGTGTGTATGTTATACTCATAATGAGGGGAGAAGTGAATTGCGGACTGGTTGTATATATGGATCACGTGACTCTAGTCTATAGGCATGCTTCCGGACGTGATTAATACATATTAACTTTTTCATCAAGTTACAGGAAAGTCACCCGGACCTATTTATGGCACTCCTACATGCATATAAGATGTAGAATATAGAAATAGCAATTGTCCAAAAGGCATAGAACGATGAAACCCTGAAAACAACGTCGTCTGATCCGGGCCGTGTCTATGTGACCCCCTTCACAACCCATGGTGGCGCTGAAGGCTGATAGACCGGTTTGAGGGAGACTATTTTCAGAACAATGTCCGGTTAATGTAAAATATTAATGCAGACTGTTAATTAAAGGCGGAAATCCCTGTCGATGTCACCTCGTCTGCAGATTACAACCAGCGATGCAGCAGACGGTCAGGTATGTAGTGAACCTGCAGGCCCTATAAGATGCATTAATACTACAAGTAATTATATCTATAATATTAAGCCCGAGAATCGGAAACTCGGGGAAATAATAACTACTGTGAAAACAACATAGGACGTCCCCCCTACCCCTAACAGGTGAGGTGAAATGGGGTTTAACGTCGCGTCCAAGATTATTGCACTTATATAGCGACGTGCATGTACGTGTGTGTGTTTGTGTGGCTGCTTGTACTAGTCCGGACTGATGCCGATTTATAGTGCTAGCTCACTGAGATACCATGCCGCAGTTTAACAGGAATACCCCACTCAGACACAGTATACTGACTCTGAGCCGACCAGTCCTTGTTTTAGCCCCTTAATGCCGAGCGCCAGACAGGGTAACAACAAGTACCATCTTTTAACGTCTTTTGGTATGACGCGGCCGGGGATCGAACCCCGGACCTTCCGCTCTCCGGGCGGACGCTCTACTACTAGACCACGGAGGCTGTCCGATACATGTAACAACAAGCTATTGAAATATAGATGGTGTTTATATAACCACGTGTTGTCTCAAACATTCTGTAAATATCCATAACGTACGAATGTTAGATAAGATATTGCAAAGGGACACGTCCTTTGTAATTCTACTGTGGACGAGTCCCTGGTTAATGACGTATCCCAAATCTAACAAACATAAAATGTCTTCCCAAAGCCTTCCCGGACATGTTTTGTAAAGCGTGTATAACACTGAATGGAAAGTGACAGTCAAAAGAAACGTACGTCTGTAAAGGAGTGGAGTGCCACACTTTCACAACAAACAACCATGAATCCATTATTTACCCCAGTTGGCCAGAGGTATGCAGGGACACCTAACGTTTATAACAAGCATTTGCATGGTAAACAACTTCGTCTCCAGTTGGGCGATAATCTTCTGGACATTCGTGTAAGTATCTGATTCGTAGAAATCAAAAACAGAGTATACAGTTTACATCTCACTCTCTCATACACACATTTCATTATCAACTCTGTGGACTGCATATTGAGGTGAGGTGAAATGGGGTTTAACGTCGCGTCCAAGATTATTGCACTTATATAGCGACGTGCATGTACGTGTGTGTGTGTGTTTGTGTGGCTGCTTTTACTAGTCCGGACTGATGCCGATTTATAGTGCTAGCTCACTGAGATACCATGCCACAGTTTAACAGGAATACCCCACTCAGACACAGTATACTGACCCCAAGCCGACCAGTCCTTGTTTTAGCCCCTTAATGCCGAGCGCCAGACAGGGTAAAAACAAGTACCATCTTTTAACGTCTTTTGGTATGACGCGGCCGGGCGGACGCTCTACCACTAGACCAAGGAGGCGGTCGCATGTTGAGATATAATGCGATAAACGGTCATTATTGTCTGTTTGTTTGTTTGTTGTTTAATGCCGCACTCAGCAATATTCCAGCTATATGACGGCGGTCTGTAAATAATCGATCCTGGAACAGACAATCCAGTGATTGCCATCATGAGCATCGATATACGAAATTGGGATACGATGACATGCATCAACCAAGCCACCGAGCCTGACCACACGATGCCGTTAGTCGCCTCTTACGACAAGCATAGTCGCCTTTTACGGCAAGCATGGGTTGCTGAAGACCTATGCTACCCCGGATCTTCACGGGTCACTTGTTTTGTCTCCCTAATGACAACATACTTATGGACAGATGTAAAGTATTGTCACAAGGCGTGTGTAATACTACATATGCTAAGCACGTCGTACATGCAGCAAAGAAAGTCCATTCAACACACGGTTACACACTTTATGTAACGATTTCAGAAACAAAAAAACATAAAACGTTTATTTCGCTTCAAGGTCTTAGCTATGACATATTGAAGGTACATGTGAAGATATAAAATGTGACACAAGGCAGGAGACAGACGTGCGACACCTATACTTTTAACTACAACACACTCATACGTTTAATTAAACATCTTGAGGATTTCTTTTACAAATTGTGCTAGTTTTCATTGTTCTAACAAACTTTAAGTATTTAGTAACATATCATGTATATTCATATGTAGAATATTCATGGACACGTCTTCTTGTTTCTTGTTCAGTTTAAAGAAAAATATAATGGCATGCAGTCATTAAAAATACTATCCTGTAAGATTGTATACCTTTACTATCCCAGAATAATATTCCGCACATCCACTGCTACTGACACAGATTGGATGTTGTTACTGCTGTTACATGTGCTGACAATGTGACAGAGCATGGTGTTGATTTGTTGTGATGTCTGTGAGTGTAGAGTCAACTCAATTGATGCACCATTAAATCTCCCCGTTACGATTACTTGTGTCATTTGATTGTGTCATTTCTAGGGGGGCACGGGTGGGTGGGTGGGGGGGGGGGGGGGGGTATGCCTGTAACCCTTATTTATTAATAATCATTTCTAACCTTCCATTTCATCAGGCCATAACAGGTGTTGACTGTGATGGGAAATGATCATTAAGCACCATATACCCTTACTTGAAAACTGACGACATTGTTTGTTCCTAAAAACAGAACAGGAAGATTCTTGTATTGTCAAAAGACGTGAATTAACAACATCACTCCAAGTTATGCCATGAGAATCAAGTTGCCCTAATTTGCAACAATTTGAAAGACGCGTCTTTTTTCAGAAGGTTGTATAGAGGGGGAATATAGAGAATAATATTCCGCACATCCACTGCTACTGACACAGATTGGATGTTGTTACTGCTGTTACATGTGCTGACAATGTGACAGAGCATGGTGTAGATTTGTTGTGATGTCTGTGAGTGTAGAGACAACTCAAATGATGCACCATTAAGTCTCCCCGTTACGATTACTTGTGTCTTTTGATTTCAAGGGAAGGGGGGGTGCTGAGGGAACAGCTTAATTTTATGTTAATAAAAAACTCAGGCTCCATCTGCTTAAAAAACTCTCGATCACAATATGGCCATCCTGATCAATACATTGTATTTGGTGTGCAAAGCCAACAATCCAGTGATTGACATCATGAGCATCGTTCCACGCAAGTGAGATCATTGACATGCACCAACCAAGTCAGTGAGCCTGACCGACCGATCCCCTTAGTCGCCTCTTACAGCAAGCGTAGGTTGCTGAAGATCTATTCTACCCCAGATCTTCAGGGGTCACTTTCATTATTACACGTGTGTGTTTATGTGTGTGTGCGCGTTGGTGGGTGTTTTCAGAGAATCGCGAATCCTGCTTGGGACGTTGTAGTTAATTGGGATTAACTGCCACCCGATTTCAGCACTAAATGTTAAGAATTCCAAACCGTAAGAATTAGTATTACGATCCCCTTATTCCTCAATTCCACCGTTCCTAAAGTTCCAGAGAAGCTTACCGTTTTCAAGTGCCCTTTACTTCAGAATAGACATACTGTCAGCCTGACAAATAAAGTTATTTCCAATACTGCAATAGCAACATGTTTACTTCAGGGGCCTCTGAGATGGAAGAATCCAAGAACAGGTTAAACAAGATTGCCGACAAACTGGAGAAAAGACACCGGACCCTCAACATCCTCCGAATCATTTTCTCCTTATTCGGCATAACTGGTAGTGGTATTGTTCTGTTTGGGTCAGGATGGACCTTCAAAGACTTTAACGTGTCCTCTCACATCAGCGTGGTAGGAGCTAGCCTGGCGCTGGTGGCAGGACTTGTCACCTTCTCTATCAAACTGGTGCGGGATTTCTACAACAACAGATCCATCAGGGACACAAGAGACGTGTTTCTGGGAAGAGGCAAGCATTCCGACATATACATAGTTTCTCAAGACACCAGCCTTGTAACATTATCTAAACCGACCTTGTGTGCCTTCACTGACTTGATTCTGGAGCCCGAGGAACCACTACGTACAGCAAGTTCCTTCCTACTGCTGTGTTGTGGTGGCAAGGTATGGCGAGCTGTGGAGGATGTGTTTCTGACTATTCTGCCCGCATGGATACTCATCAGCAGTATCAAGGACCTACAGAAGATTTTTTCCACTGTTGTGGACTCGGTGTCCAGTGGGAAGAACCCACTGGTGATCATCCCCAGTTTGATAACGAACAGTTCGTTAGTACCCAGCCACAAAGACACCTGGCTCTCACTCAACGACCTTGGAAAGGCAATGGAGGTGTTGGACAGCTGTTTGGCTTTTGCTTGCTTTTTTGTAAACGTTGCAACTTTGTTGTATTTCAGCTATAAAGTAATCATGTGGAGAGAGAAAAACAATGCTAAAATTGCAGAAAAGATTCGAAACTTGGACACAGAGATGCAACTACAAGCATTGGCAAGTAGCGAAGATGTGTTAGTTGAGCAATAATGGTGCCCAATTCCCATAAAACATTCATTTCTAAAGCCATATTATGCGTTGAAAATGGTCACTCAATTGATCATTACATACATGTATACAACTACTATCATCTTTTGAATTAGTATTAAAGTATACTGTTAATATTCCTTGATCAATCCCAGAAGAGATACCAGTACCTCATAATTTAGGTGAGGTGAGGTGAAGTGGGGTTTGCCGTTGTGTTCAAGATTGTCACATGTGTGTTTGTGTGTGTTTAGCTGCTTGTACCAGTCTGGACTAATGCTGATTTTATTGTGGTAGCCCACTGAGATACCATGCCACAGTTTAACATGAAAACACCACTCTGACAGTATACTGACTCTGAGCCGACCAGTCCAGTCCTTGTTTTAGCCCCTTAATGCCAAGCCCCTGGCATGGTAACAACAAGTACCATCTTTTAACATCTTTTGGTATGATGCGACCGGAATCGAACCCCAGACCTTCCGCTCTCCAGACAGATGCTCAACCACCAGACATGGATGCGGACTGATACTTGAGACTAAACTGGGGATGAGGTGGTCAGTCATGCTGCACAAACACGTTGTGGGGTATTGCTCATGATATCAATAACTGGTTTTCCCTGAGAAGACTTGGCTATATATAGCACTGATATAGCTGTAATTTGTGACTGTGAAGTAAAACAAACTAATCCTAGAATTGTACAACTTGACAAGTGTGGTGGTCCTACAGCCCCAAACATATGTTGTATAATGAGTATGTCCTGGTATTTGATTCATTAGCTTATCTGGACACAGACAATCTATTTCACCTTTTATAAGAATTCAAAATAATGACATGAGATTATTTCTGTTTTGACATTTTTCGACCTAAACAGTGTGTCATCTGCACGTTGCATTTCCTGAAGGCAACATATTCTGCCCTATGTTCTCTACCTGCACTGCTGTGTGAGAAAGTGTCATAAAACATGTCACACAAACAAAAAACATCAACTTCATATAATCACTTGTATTTAGTTTATTTTTAACAACAATGTATGTACACTAAAGACATTTTAACATTAATGTACACTGGCCAAACAAATCATTCTCTGAATATTTGCTCCTGTCTGCCCTTACACTGAAAATTCATTGTGTTAGTGTTTCACGTCTCCTGACTTGGTGCACCTGGGAATATCTTATGATAACACTCTTCAAGCATCACAGTTAATTACAATAACGGGATCATGTCAAGATGAGTGCACAAATATCTGTCTTGTTCCAGTTTGTCATCACTGGAGTGAGTGAGTGTGGTTTTATGTCACTTTTAGCAATATTCCAGCAGTATCACAGTGGGGGACACCAGATATGTGTAATCACAGGAAGCAAGAATCAAACCTAGCCAGAGTTGTCTTGATGACCCTACTTTTCTACTATTTGGATCCTGGTTTTAAACTGCTGAGAATTTTACTACAACGAAGTTGTAAACTCAAGTCATTCATGAAATTTGTCACATAGGAATCTTTTTCTGATTTTTTGGTTTCAAACACCACAACCAAGTAAATCCGAGGGTCCACCCTGCTGATGAAGTAGGTGCTCTGGGCTCTCTGCAACAACAAACAGTGAAACTCCAACAAACGTTCCAATGTTAACGTTTCACAAACCACAACCATAATTTTAGACTTTGGAAAACATTTTGTGGACCTTGTGGAAAATATTTATATTTATATCCAGAAAAAGGATACATATGTTTATCTGATTTTAGGTTTTTCTTGTCAAAGGTTTATCTAATTGCTTTAACATGGAAGCTGTTCATAGTTTACATGATGTAACACAACATTAAAAGTATTAGTCTCAGTTTTTGGGAGGATTACATAGCAGCTTATCCTAGAAGCACGATGTACCTTGTCAAAGAAGCACAATGTACCTTGTCATAGAAGAACCACGTACCTTATCATGGAAGCACCATGTAGCTTATCATGGAAGCACAATGTAGCTTATCGTAGAAGCACAATGTACCTTGTCATAGAAGCACCATGTAGCTTATCATAGAAGCACCATGTAGCTTATCATAGAAGCACCATGTAGCTTATCATAGAAGAACCATGCAGCTTATCATAGAAGCACCATGTAGCTTATCATAGAAGAACCATGTAGCTTATCATAGAAGCACCATGTACTTTATCATAGAAGCACCATGTATCTTGTCATAGAAGAACCATGTACTTTATCATAGAAGCACCATGTACTTTATCATAGAAGCACCATGTACCTTGCCAAGAAGAACCATGTACTTTATCATAGAAGAACCATGTAGCTGTTCATAGAAGCACCATGTACCTTATCATAGAAGCACCATGTACTTTATCATAGAAGCACCATGTACTTTATCATAGAAGCACCATGTATCTTGTCATAGAAGCACCATGCATCTTGTCATAGAAGAACCATGTACCTTATCATAGAAGCACCATGCATCTTGTCATAGAAGAACCATGTACCTTATCATAGAAGCACCATGCATCTTGTCATAGAAGAACCATGTACCTTATCATAGAAGCACCATGCATCTTGTCATAGAAGAACCATGTAGCTTATCATAGAAGCACCATGTACCTTGTCATAGAAGCACCATGTACCTTGTCATAGAAACACCATGTATCTTATCATAGAAGAACCATGTAGCTTATCATAGAAGCACCATGTACTTTATCATAGAAGCACCATGTACCTTGCCAAGAAGAGCCATGTACTTTATCATAGAAGAACCATGTAGCTGTTCATAGAAGCACCATGTGCCTTGTCATAGAAACACCATGTATCTTGTCATAGAAGCACCATGTACCTTGTCATAGAAGCACCATGTACCTTGTCATAGAAGCACCATTTAGCTTATCATAGAAGCACCATGTACCTTGTCATAGAAGCACCATGTAGCTTATCATAGAAGAACCATATATCTTGTCATAGAAGAACCATGTACTTCATCATAGAAGAACCATGTAGCTTATCATAGAAGCACCATGTACCTTGTCATAGAAGCACCATGTATCTTGTCATAGAAGAACCATGTAGCTTATCAAAGAAGCACCATGTACTTTGTCATAGAAGCACCATGAAGCTTATCATAGAAGAATCATGTATCTTGTCATAGAAGCACCATGTACCTTGTCATAGAAGAACCATGTACTTTATCATAGAAGCACCATGTACTTTGTCATAGAAGCACCATGAAGCTTATCATAGAAGAACCATGTACCTTATCATAGAAGCACCATGTACCTTGTCATAGAAGCACCATGTACCTTGTCATAGAAGCACCATGTGCCTTGTCATAGAAGCACCATGTGCCTTGTCATAGTAGCACCATGTACCTTATCATAGAAGCACCATGTACTTTATCATAGAAGCACCATGTATCTTGTCATAGAAGCACCATGTACCTTGTCATAGAAGCACCATGTACTTTATCATAGAAGCACCATGTAGCTTATCATAGAAGCACCATGTACTTTATCATAGAAGCACCATGTATCTTGTCATAGAAGCACAATGTACCTTGTCATAGAAGAACCATGTATCTTGTCATAGAAGCACCATGTACCTTGTCATAGAAGAACCATGTAGCTTATCATAGAAGAACCATATATCTTGTCATAGAAGAACCATGTACTTCATCATAGAAGAACCATGTAGCTTATCATAGAAGCACCATGTACCTTGTCATAGAAGCACCATGTACCTTGTCATAGAAGAACCATGTAGCTTATCATAGAAGCACCATGTACTTTGTCATAGAAGCACCATGAAGCTTATCATAGAAGAATCATGTATCTTGTCATAGAAGCACCATGTACCTTGTCATAGAAGAACCATGTACTTTATCATAGAAGCACCATGTATCTTGTCATAGAAGAACCATGTACCTTGTCATAGAAGCACCATGTATCTTGTCATAGAAGAACCATGTACCTTGTCATAGAAGCACCATGCATCTTGTCATAGAAGAACCATGTACCTTGTCATAGAAGCACCATGTACCTTGTCATAGAAGAACCATGTACCTTGTCATAGAAGCACCATGTACCTTGTCATAGAAGCACCATGTACTTTGTCATAGTAGCACCATGTACCTTATCATAGAAGCACCATGTACTTCATCATAGAAGCACCATGTACCTTGTCATAGAAGAACCATGTACCTTGTCATAGAAGCACCATGTACCTTGTCATAGAAGCACCATGTACTTTGTCATAGTAGCACCATGTACCTTATCATAGAAGCACCATGTACTTTATCATAGAAGCACCATGTAGCTTATCATAGAAGCACCATGTACTTTATCATAGAAGCACCATGTATCTTGTCATAGAAGCACAATGTACCTTGTCATAGAAGAACCATGTATCTTGTCATAGAAGCACCATGTACCTTGTCATAGAAGAACCATGTACTTTATCATAGAAGAACCATGTAGCTTATCATAGAAGCACCATGTACTTTATCATAGAAGCACCATGTACCTTATCATAGAAGCAGTTGACCTTGTCCTGGTTGGAGAGGTCAGGTGTGTTCTTGTCACTAATCATCATCACTACATTTGGCCAATGAGAGGTTGGACGTTCCTGGAACCAAATGTCACATCATTCAGTAAGTTTAAAATTATATGTGTAAAACAGATAAAAACGAGCATCATGGTGACAAGCCTCACTAATTTTGGTGAGGTCAATAGGTACACAAAAAGTCTATCTGCGATCTAATGTCTGAATCTGTAGAGATATACATTCAGTAGTGATCGAGTGACTGGTAATTTGAAGCAAGGGCGGTAACTGACTGTAAGAGTCCCATTTCCACCCTGCGCCGAACTAGGCTAGTATTATGAAGTTACAGTTTGGCTGGACTAACGCTTCTGTGCAATGTCCAATCAAAATCGAAAAGTTCGGATTTCAATGTTCAGATTTCGGTTGACTGCAGGATTTGCATAATGATGTGTAATGTCAACTTGGCATCGACAGATATTTTCCAAATCTTTTCATGTTTTAATCGAGGTGCTCCAGTGATTTAATGGTTAGACCTGTTTTATTACAATATAGATCTTGATCATCAATCAGATCGTCTTGACTGGGCGCCACCATTTTGTTTGAAGCAAATGCAAGTGATATGAGAGTTGGAATTTGATTGGTCAATAGGAGGGGCATAGAAGGGACATGACATGTAATAGCCACTGGTGGCGCTACAATCAGCCCAGAAATTCGAGCCTAGTTCAGCAAGAATGGAAACTGGACTTTTAAAGTCAGTTAACTACCTTGCCTCAGGAAGATGCACTAGGGTGTAAACATGAATGACATCAGGTGTCTCACCCCCGGTATAGACAATATAGCAGGGAAGGTGTTCAGTCCCTCGGGAGCCTCTGTAATCTTGTTGGGGTGGTGGTAGCCAGGTCCCTTGTATGTATCCTTCAAACCGTGACTATCTAGCACCAGGGACACATTGAAAGCATCACACTTCTTTTGGAAACTTGTGATTCTGTCAACAACATGGGCACAGGCAACTGATCATATCATCCAAGATCCATAAGCATCACACTACTACACAAGAGGCAGGTTATCTATTGTAGATGGGGGGGGGGGGGGGGGTTGGGGTGTCAGAGACTTTCTATGCAAGCAACAAATTAATGTGTTAAGGTTGACACAATGTCAGTTTTAGAGTATAAAACTACCTCACTACAGAATCCTTTATCACAAATGGACAGGAGTCCAGTGAGTGGGTTGGTAGGGCTTAGAACCATCAGCATCAGTTTAATTATTTCAAGTACCTGCTACCTACTTCCCTATGAAGTCGTCCGTTGTCTTGCTGGCCCAGCTCTTCATCTCCACGGGGACTGCCTGCTTACTGAGGACCTCATAGAAGTACAGACTGAACTGCAACAGTACACACATATAGGACACACTCACTCAGCACAACGAACATCACGAAAGGAGTATTGCAGAGTTTTGCAGAGCTCCAATGAAAGAAATATAACCTCTGGTAGTAACGAGAATGTGTTTTTACTCACAAACATATGTCTCCCCCCTCCTTTTTCTGATACATTTTAGGTTCAAGTTGTTACACAGCAAATAATAGACTGGAAAGGTAATGATTTCATGCAGAAATATTCATTAGCTGTAGAGATTTGGTGGGATACAAATGGTACCTGTTTGAGACTAAGTCCAAATTGTTTCCATGCAAACACAAGAAAGTAAAAGAAACAAAAAGTAGAAAAATATGAAGAGGCAATAGTTGAACACGTGGTCATTGTATATGTGTAGTTTCAAGCAAAAAGCAAAAATATTCATTAGTTTGAGACTTATGACTCAGAAACCAAGCCTCAAGGTGTTTGAGACTAAATTGTTTCCATGGAAACATAACAAAATAAATTTGGAAATATTTTAAAATAGCAAAGGCACTAGTCAAACTGATGAGTAATGCATATGCCAAGTTTCGTTGAAATATGTTGAACTGTTTTTAAGTTAGAGCCAAGAAACAAACCCTACCCTTGTTTGAGACTAAGTCGAAATTATTTCCATTGAAATGTAAAAACTAAATTTTGGTTATGGCTTGGAATAGAATGGGATGCCAACGTCAACTCCTTTGAGGAGGAGGACATAATAACAGTCTTGAAAGCACATTAAAATCATCTCCACCCAACACATGCACTACCTGACCATACCTTGGCCACAAGCAGACCCTTGAATCTGGCGAGCCAGTGATAGACACCTGTCTGTACACTGGCCTTGGAGGTGCTGACAAACCCCTTCTTGCTCTGAAAACAATATCCTGTCATTACTATTTGAACCACTGATCCATCCTGTACAAGACAGTTGACATGGTTTGGCAGTGAACGAGACCATGTACCAGAAACCTAGGATCATGGGTTGAATCGCAGATTTACGGTCATCTTGTGTCTTGGTTTGTCAACACCATCATGTCGGAGACAAGCATCATTTGAGGATTTCCTCCCACATCAAATTGATGAAACCGAAATACTGTTTGAAAGATTAATTTTTAAAACAAACTCACTCACAAACTAGACAATTACTCAATACAACAACAAGATACTAGACGCAATCGCTGAAGCACACCCCAGACGGGGCACTTAGAGATAACCATGCACATAGAGACACACCGTAATGTAGAACCCATTTAGAATTCTAACCCAGGTAATACATTCATGAAGCATATATACAATGCTAGATATCAGAAGATAAACTGAATAGAACTGAACTGACAGAAAATGATTAATAAAAGACAAACAAAGTGACCCTAATTCTCACTGAAAAATATGCAAATATATATAAACGGACCAAATATTTTTTTCAAAATTGCACTTAAGCCCTTTTCAGTCATTATATTGTATATTCTTTGTTCTTACCAGGACAGGAATACCTCAGATAAGATAATACTCAGATAATTTTGAAGGATGCAAATTTATATCAATTATTGATGGACTTAATCTTCCTATGTTACAAATTACGTCATAGTGACATGTTTGTAAAGTTTGTGGCACAGGGCTCGGTTCCACAAGGCGATCAGCGCACAACTGCAGTCATAGGTCTATGTTAAAGTAAGGCAGTTATGATCACCTCAGTGCTTCAATAGCTTCCTGGAAAGGACTCCTGAATTCTAAAGGTAGAGGTATTAATTAATACGTGCCAACTTTTAATGTGTTTGAAGTATTATTCTGTTTAACTCAAATGGACTATGCTGTGGATCACGTAGATGTCTGTCTATTTACTCAGGACAGTAAAATTGTAAAATGTTATAAATGCAAAGTAATAAATAAAGCACAAAACGCACCCCCATGTAATACCAATTTTATGAAAGTTGTGAATAGTTCTGTTACAAATTATTCACTTGTTTCATATAATTGGTATTACTCGGTCAGGAGTTTAGTATTCTATATTTATCAAACTGTGCAAAGAACTACATATTTATATCATCTATGCCATCCATATTAATCTGTGTTTTTCCCATTCACGCAGTGAATTACTTACAAAGTGACTGAATCAGTCATGCCACCAGAGGCCATTGCTTTCTGGGCATGTGTATGTGCTTGTCAATGTGTATATGTTTGTCAATGTGTATATGCTTGTCAATGTGTATATGCTTGTCAATGTGTATATGCTTGTCAATGTGTATATGTTTGTCAATGTGTACATGTTTGTCAATGTCTATAATCTATAATGAACATATTGCCTGACAAATGAGACTGGATTTCGGACTGATTGTCTGAAATGAACTAGACTCATGTTTTCTACTCAGAGTTTCAGATAAACTTGTTTTCTGTGACACTGACTGGTTATTATCTAAAATGTACCACAGATTGCTTCTCTACTGCTTTTCTTTTCCATGTGAGAGTGAAATGCATTCAAATATTACATAATTTAGTACAATATCAACTGTACATATTACTGATGTATACAGTAACTAAAACAAGCATATTCCTTTCAAAATAATTATGTCAAGTCTACTTTTAAAATGAATACATTATAGAAACAAACAAGATGGAACAATTTATATTGACTAGCTCTGGAGTATTTACTTCATTTGCAATAGAATTTTACACTGCATAAAATCAGAAACTGAACACTATGTTAGTGTGTTATGTGTAAAATACAGTTAGTATGCCAAGGATTGCAATAGGACAATTTTACAATAATTTAAGTAGTCTATCAAGGCTCCATAGGGCTAGGGGAGGGAGTTTTTGTCTGGCATTTATTTCCACTCACAAATAATGCACTTTTTCATCATGCCAAACAATGAAAACACAGCGGCATAGTGGAATCTTTTGGCATGGAAAACCCGAATAATGAACAATTCATGACACCCTCAATCGTACAGGCTCGGGTGTGGGAGTGGCTCAGGCTGGAGGCCCAGCCTGGTGGATCCATCTACATGTATTATATTTGGTGACAGAGATGGTGAATAAGGGTTTGTACTGTAGTCAACAGCAGCTACATATCACTCTAAAGAAACTGCGCACTCGGATCTCCTGTGTAGAGTGAGTGAGTGAGTATGGCTTTACACCGCTTTTAGCAATACTTCAGAAATATCGCGGCAGGGGACACAGACATGGGCTTCACATATTGTACCCATGTCGGGAATCAAACCCGGGTCTTTGATGTGACGAGCGAATGCTTTAACCACTAGGCTATCAGACCTCCCTCCTGTTTAGAAGTTGGATATGTAACTAATGACAAGATAGCATGGATGCTCAACTTCTTCATTACAATTTAGTGTTGAGAAAGCATTGGAAACAAGAACAAGTTGTGGGGTTTGTGGTCACACAATTCTGTTCAGATCAATACTTTGTTGTTTAATGCTGCACTCAGCTATATTCCTAGAGCCGTTAAGATCCAGGTAAGAATAGGTCTTCAGCAACCCATCTTTGCCATAAAAGGCGGCTATGTCATTCCTAAGAGGTGACTAATGGGATCCGGTGGTCAGGTTCACTTGGTTGATGCAATCTCATCGTATCCCACTTGTATAGATTGATGCTCATGATGTCAATTATTTTATGATGTCATGATACTCGATTATTTACACACCAGCATCATATAGCAGGAATATTGCTGAGTGTGGCATTAAAAAAACAAACAAACAAACATATGAGGGCATCCTGCAAACACTCTGGACCAGACAAACCAAGGAATGTTATCACGAGCAATGTCCCACGCCATCAGAGTTCAATGACCACCAAGCAACAGAGCTGGACCACCTGACCAATTTTCATTGCCCTTTATGACAAGCATATATGCTGGGGACCTATTCCAACCCGGACCCCAATGGGGGAATCAGATCCTTAACCCTGTTAGTACCCTAGGTTTGAGTTGTAGGATCTATGAGCATAATGGCCAGTCCACAGCATCAAAGTTCAGTAGCGTCCTGGCATTAGTGATGTCTGCACACAAACGCAGCAACCTTCTTACTCCAGCATATGGCTTGTGACTGTTGGTTACACATAACACACAAAATCCACACACATATATTTGCAATGACAAGAAACAGATGAAACATCACACAAACTACAAAGCAAATAGTTCCCAAGCCTACAAGTGACAGTTAGGTATCTACCATCAAGCTTACCGGTGTAGGCTTATCCTTGGATGCAGGCTGAACAGAATGACAAGCAAGGGATTATGTATGATGGGCAGTTACAGTTAATGAGTCATACAAGCATCCATCTACTCTCATCCTTACCATGCTTACCAACAATCAGGAATATGTAAGTGTTGTAGGCCAGAGGCATAAAAGGTGATTTGTTATAAAGATAAGCTAATACAGATGTATGGTAGTACTAGTAGTGGTTCAAGTGCAATGAATTATGCTGCTGCAGAAATGATGGAGCTACCTAGTCTCTGCTGTACTGGCCAACACAGGTCTCCCATAGCTCACCTCTTTGATGGCTGCCATGTTGGCCCAGCTAGCCAGCTTGGTGTGGGCTTGGTGTAGCTGCAGCAGCGACGGAAGACACTGCCACTCCGACATGAGGATCTGTGCCTCGAGCAGGTGGCGCATCACATCACACTCCAGGCTGGCAACACAAGGACACAACAGTCAACATGACGCACGTAGACATCACACATGGAGACAACATTACACACATGGAGACACATCACACATGGAGACAACATCACACACATGGAGACAGCATCACACACATGGAGAAAGCATCACACATGGAGACAACATCACACATGGAGACAACATCACACACATGGTGACAGCATCACACATGGAGACAACATCACATATGGAGACAACATCACACACATGGCGACAGCATCACATATGGAGACAACATCACCCACATGGCGACAGCATCACACACATGGAGACATCATCACACACATGGAGACATCATCACACACATGGAGACATCACATATGGAGACAGCATCACACACATGGCGACAGCATCACGCATGGAGACAGCATCAAACACATGGAGACAGCATCACACATGGAGACAGCATCACACATGGAGACAGCATCACGCATGGAGACAGCATCACGCATGGAGACAGCATCACACATGGAGACAGCATCACGCATGGAGACAGCATCACGCATGGAGACAGCATCACACAGGGAGACAGCATCACACATGGATACAGCATCACACACATTGAGACAGCATCACCCACATGGCAACAGCATCACACAAATGGAGACAGCATCACATACATTGAGACAGCATCACACACATGGAGACAGCATCACACATGGAGACAACATCACACACATGGCGACAGCATCACACACATGGAGACAGCATCACACACATGGAGACATCATCACACACATGGAGACATCACACATGGAGACAGCATCACGCATGGCAACAGCATCACACATGGAGACAACATTACACGCATGGAGACAACATTACATGCATGGAGACAGCATGACACATGGAGACAACATTACACACATGTATACAGCATCACACATGGAGACATCACACATAGAGACAACATTACACACATGGATACAGCATCACACATGGAGACAGTATCACACATGGAGACAACATTACACACATGGATACAGCATCACACATGGAGACAACATCACACATGGAGGCAACATCACACACATGGTGACAGCATCACATATGGAGACATCACACATGGAGACAACATCACACACATTGAGACAGCATCACACATGGAGACAACATTACACGCATGGAGACAGCATCACGCATGGAGACCACATCACACACATGGAGACAGCATCAAACACATGGAGACAGCATCACACATGGAGACAGCATCACACACATGGAGACAGCATCACACACATGGAGACAGCATCACCCACATGGAGACAGCATCAAACAAATGGAGACAACATCACACACATGGAGACATCATCACAGACATGGAGACATCACATATGGAGACAACATCACACATGGAGACAGAATCACACATGGAGACAGCATCACACATATGGAGACAGCATCACACATGGAGACATCACACATGGATACAGCATCACACACATTGAGACAGCATCACCCACATGGCAACAGCATCACACACATGGAGACAGCATCACACACATGGAGACAGCATCACACATAGAGACATCACACATGGATACAGCATCACACACATTGAGACAGCATCACCCACATGGCAACAGCATCACACACATGGATACAGCATCACACATGGAGACATCACACATGGAGACAGCATCACACACATTGAGACAGCATCACACATGGAGACAACATTACACGCATGGAGACAGCATCACGCATGGAGACAACATCACACACATGGAGACAGCATCACACACATGGAGACAGCATCACACATGGAGACAGCATCACACATGGAGACAGCATCACGCATGGAGACAGCATCACACACATGGAGACAGCATCATGCATTGAGACAACATCACACACATGGCGACAGCATCACACACATGGAGACAGCATCACACACATGGAGACAGCATCACACATGGAGACATCATCACACACATGGAGACATCACACATGGAGACAGCATCACGCATAGCAACAGCATCACACATGGAGACAACATTACACGCATGGAGACAACATTACATGCATGGAGACAGCATGACACATTGAGACAACACTACACACATGGAGACAGCATCACACACATGGAGACAGCATCACACATGGAGACAGCATCACACATTGAGACAGCATCACACACATGGAGACAGCATCACACATGGAGACAGCATCACACATGGAGACAGCATCACATCACACATGGAGACAGCATCACACACATGGAGACAGCATGACACACATGGAGACATCATCACACACATGGAGACATCACATATGGAGACAACATCACACATGGAGACAGCATCACACATGGAGACAGCATCACACACATGGAGACAGCATCACACATGGAGACATCACACATGGAGACAGCATCACACACATTGAGAGAGCATCACCCACATGGCAACAGCATCACACACATGGAGACATCATCACACACATGGAGACATCATCACACACATGGAGACAGCATCACACAAATGGAGACAGCATCACACACATGGAGACATCATCACACACATGGAGACATCACATATGGAGACAACATCACACATGGAGACAGCATCACGCATGGAGACAGCATCACACATGGATACAGCATCACACATGGAGACATCACACATGGATACAGCATCACACACATTGAGACAGCATCACCCACATGGCAACAGCATCACACACATGGAGACGGCATCACACACATGGAGACAGCATCACACACATGGAGACATCACACATGGAGACAGCATCACACATGGCAACATCATCACACATGGAGACAACATTACACTAGGAGACAGCATCACACATGGAGACAGCATCACACATGGAGACAACATTACACATGGAGACAACATTACACTAGGAGACAGCATCACACATGGAGACAGCATCACACATGGAGACAGCATTAAAATCTTTTGTATCATTATGTATCAATGTGGTGGCAACATTGTGATGCTAACATGATGTACTGTTGTTCTTGAGTGTTCAGACAATGGTTATAACCCTACCTGAAGGATGACTTGAGAGGGCTGAGGAGTGGATGGTGGAAGCCCCGACTGTGAGCCTGTATTATGTCAGTAACCATAGTAACCAGGTCATCAAAACTCACATTCCTGTGGACAGCAACTGAAGATATCTGCTCATATCTTGTTTTGTTAAGTGGACAACACAATCATATAACTCTGATGAGTACATAAACTAACTACATTCACATAAAGCAGGAATACCACTAGGAAGCCTCCTGAGATGGTCATGTTGATAATCATATAATATAACATTTGGGTAGAAAGATGAAAAACAATTGGTGCCCATGCAATGACTTTAGGAACATAACAAAATGGCACAAGTATGTTGTCTGTTTTGGGAACATAGCAGAGAGAGTAATCTGGGCTAGGAGATACATGTTTGTCTATAACTGCTAGTTATACCTGATGCTAAATCTTATCAAAATAGGTAGACACCATTTTACATGTTCTAATAGATTCACAATACATCTGAGGTTTACATCCCTAAGATTAAATCTCTCGACTAAACAGTCTCCAGGATACAGATCCATGAGCCTCTGTCTGGCTGTAAGGTAGTGACTCAGCTGACCACTCAGATGTGCCAGGAGAATGTCAAGGTCCGAGCGAAGAGTCACTGGTGTCTGAGACAAGCTGTCAATACGCTGGAACTCCTGAACCAGGAACTGGTAGTTGTTGCGCAGGTTCTGTGGAGGGAAGAACCAAATCAGTTTCATCTTAAAATTAGACCCTTGGTGGTGGTGGTGGTTGTGGACAACACTTTAACTGAGCAGCTCTATGGGTCTCTACTGATTTAAATATAGCCTTTCAATATGGTTGGTATACCCATCTTCCAGAGGCAAGTGAGTTAACAGACTTTAAAAGTTCAGTTTCCATCCTTGCCAAACTAGGCTGGAATTATGGAGATGTTTTTGCTGGACTAACAAGATATTGACATCCGGATCATAATCAACATGGCAACTGACGTGCCGAATTGGTTCGATTCGAGGATTAGCAGAGCATGTGTACCCTCAGCTGGGCGTCAACACATATTTTCCAATCTTTTCATGTTTTTATTCAAGGTGCTCAAGTGATATGATGCACTTTACGAGGGAAAAACAGTTTTATTACAACAAAGATCTTTATTATCGATGAGATTGTCTTGACTGGTCACAACCAATTTGGTTGAAACAAATGATATGAGAGGTGGAATCTGAGGGGGAACATTGAAGGAACATAATTCGTAATAGCCACTCATGGCACTACAATCAAGGCCCTGAAATTCCAGCCTAGTTTGGCAAGGATGGAAACTGGACTTTTAAAGTCAGTTAACTCCCTTGTCTCAGGAAGATGGGTATAACCCTAGATATTTCTAAAGACGCTACACTGAGTCAAAATCAAAGATTTCTTATCACGTACATACCTGTGGGCAAAAGGAGAAATCAGGGAGGAAGTAACAGCCATATATAATGTTTCTTTGTTTGTCTGTTGTTTAACACCTCACTCAGCGATATTCCAGCTATATGTCGACAGGCAGTAAATAATCAAGTCTGGACCAGACAATCCAGTCATTGATATCACAAACATCAATCTACGCAATTGGGATGACATGCATCATCCACGTCTGACCACCTGATCCGGTTGCCTCTTACGACAAGCATGGGCTTGCTGAAGACCAATTCTAACCTGGATCTTCATAGGACAGCAATATATTATATTCATTTTCACAGTATGCTCAATAAGTATTGCAATGTGTATTGTTTCAAAATGAGCAATTCTGAATAAATGCAAGGTTGTTATACTTACCTGACGCTACACAGTGCTTTAACTCCCCTACCTTATACAAACAGACAGTACTGGAATGAAGAGACAGTTGAAACCACAACCCGTGCCTCGGCATCCATAAGTTATCCCCCTTGCCCCCTACTCCCTCATATTCTTCACTGTACAACAGCAGGCGTAGAGTAGACAGTGGCGCCAAACAGTAAGGCGGAGGAGGCAGGCCCAGTCCAGGTGGGCCTATAGGTGTAGCATCAGGTAAGTATAAAACATTGCATTGAATCAGAAGTGCTCATGTTTTACCTTAACTGATGCTACACAGTGCTTTATTTGACTGACATGGAAGATGGGCTTACTGTCAGAAGTGCCAGGCAAGGAACCCTTCAGACGACAACAAGGTAGCAGCTCCTAGTATGGCATCGGGGGTTGGTCAGGTGCTGGGGGGCCAGGACAAGTGGACCAAATCTATGAGTACCCTCAACGTCTTCAACAGAAAGGTTGCGAAGACAGATACAGAGGACCAGAAGCATCCCTCCATGATGTCGTCAGGATGGAGGGCCAGTGGAGAAGACAGGGCATTGATCTCATGCCGATTGGAGGAGGTAAGTTAGCCCGACGATAGGCTCTCATGAAAGCGGAACGAAGCCAAAGGCACTGTCAACGATGCTGTTGAGACACCTGAAGATATTGTCGGAGAGCTCGAACCGGGCAGAGAGTGAGTTCCATGTTATCATCTGGACCAATGATCTCCAAAAGAGAAGGGACATGAAACTGCCGATCAGGTTGGCCAGGCAGTTGATTTTTGGCGACAAAGTCCCAGCAAAGAACAAGGTGAACCAGGCCGTGAGGTCGCTGTTCGAACCAGACCTGGGTCACATCTAGGGCATGAAGCTTGCTAACCCTGGCCCCCATGGCAAGTGCCAGGAGAAAGCAAGCCTTCAAGGTGAGATCTTGAGGCGCAAGCAGTCACGCGAAACAAGATTTAAATCCCAAGCTGGAGGATTGAACTTCTTAGTCTCATCCTCCAATCAAAATCCTCGGACCATGGCACAAAGTGCAGGGACCGAGGACAGTCACTAGCGGTCATCAAGACCGAACTGAGGGCAGCAAGTTAGGTCGCAATTATGGAACCAGCAAGGTGACCAAGAAGTCAAGCAGAAGGCCTGGAACATGTAAGATGAGGGCTACTTTGTGAATGACCTGGGGGAGAATAAGTGGGGACGGAAAAGCATACACACTTAGGCCGACCCAGGACAGAGCGAGGCCATCTACCTCCCAAGCAGCTTGGCCTGGGACTGGAGACACATACACTGGCAACTGGTACGGTGGTTGCTAACCCTGGCAAAGAGATCAACGTCTGGAGTTCCAAGGCGATCGCATAAGAACAGGAAGCCCTCTGGGTGGAGCACCCACTCCATGGGGTATGGACGATTGGGTCTTGAAAAGTCTGCTCAAGGAGAGAAACAAATCCCACTACAGTGAAGGAACCCAACGATGGCCTTGGTGATACGCATGAATAACCACGGAGCCATGAAAATTCCAAATGAGTGTACTTTCCACTGAAAGTGCTGGCCTGGAAGATGAAGTGGAGGAATCGTTGCATGAATGGGAACATGCAGGTAGGCATCCTGTAGGTCCAGACTGATGAGGTGGCGCTGGGAACAGATGGAGATCATCTGAAAATGTAATGGAGGTGTGAGATAGTGAAGATTGAAGAGCGCCAGATTGTGAATCATCCATAGTTTGGATGAAGCCTTTTGGGGCTATGGGAAGACGGGGGGAAAAGAATCCTGGCTGGATGGAGTTGGTATCCAAAATACGGCTGAACAGGGACAACTGGCACAGAGAGTTGCCAGATGTCAGGCATCTCAAGGAGGTCACATTTGTCGACGGTCCCCACCAGAAAAGCGATGATGTTGGGGGGGGGGGGGGGGGGTGTCTTGTAGACCAGTCCAGCAAATGATGTTCGCTGTTGAGAGAGCTGGGAAGACAGAGGACGCTTCATGTTACTATGGAGACAGACGCTGCTGGTTAGCGTCTCAACTCTGGGCCTCCTTGTAACTGTCAGGATCTGGCTGTTCGAAAGAGCCGGATCAGACAAAGGCTGGTGCATCAATTGCGGGTCTCAGGAAGACTGTTTGAGTAAGGCAGAGCACCTAGCGATGGTGATGGATCCAAGGCAGCATTGGACATGTGTACAAGATGTCGCTGTTGCCAGTCAAACACAGAAAGGAGCTGTCAACAATCTTGTATGGCTGAGCTGGTGGGAGGGGGATAACTCGTGGATGCCAAGGCACGTGGCTGTAGTCTGTTTCAACTGTCTCTTTGTTCCAGTACTGTCTGTTTGTATGAGGTAGGGAAACTAAAGCACTTTGTTGCATCCGGTGTGGTAAAACTTATATCGTATGTATAGTGCAATAACCCAGTAGATATACTACTCAAAAGAACATGAATGTTTTTTGCTATCAACTATTTTGACGGGATGCCTACAGGATAATGTGCCCCCATATGATATGGCCACATGTCGTTATGTTTCTCCCTCATTAATCAGAGAAGATCAAGTACTAGCATGATTAGGTACAACATACCTCTCTTGCTCGTCCAATAGGATTAAATCTCTTCTGCCCGAGGAAAGTGAGTGACATGTACATCTTCTCGGCAGCGGCCAGCTGGGACAGGCACTGGATGATGGTGCCCCATGATGCAGCTGTGGACAGCTTGTGGACATCTTTGTCCTTCTCCTGAAACACACAAAAATAATCATATCACTTCAATACCAGATGGCAACAAATACAAGTCTACAGTCTGTACATGTTTCAAATTTGCCTGTTTCCATGTAACTACATAAAAAATAGGTGAGAAGAAATGCATTAAACATGCAAGTGTACTTGTTGTTAATGTGCTAAAACAAGCTGCATTCAAGATTATTGCCATTATATAGTGACGTACACATGTGCGTGAGTGGCTGCATGTGTGGCTGCATGTGTGGCTGCATGTATGCCGGACTAACACCGATTTTATAGTGCCTTCCCTTTGAGATACAATGCCACAGTTTAAAACAAATACCCCACTCAGACACAGCATACCGACTCCAAGCCGACCAGTCCTTGTTTTAGCACATTAATGCAGATCGTGAGATTAGTTAACAACAAGTACCATCTGTCACCGTCTTTTGGTATGACATGACCAGGGATTGAATCCCTGACGCATTTCAGCAGTTTGGCTCCTGAGATTTTCTAGTGCTTTGGTCCTGCCCCACACTTACATGTGTTGTCTCCATGGGCAAGTGACTTTGTGCAATGTGCCTCTGTTCACCCAGCAGTGAATACTTGGGATGAGATTGCAATGTGGTTGTTAACCTTCTAGCTCCTAAAAGTAACAGGCAGCTTGTATACTCCCCAGGAAGCTGAGAATGATTGTTGAATTTACATTGATATATTGACCGGGAAAATAATAGCCCTTTGAGCATATGCCCCTGTGTGTTTTTGTTCCTTAACTTGAATTTGACAGTTACTAGAGTTAGATTGTTGAAGAAGGTGATACATGTACAGTATTAGATCCTAAATGAGACCCGTGAAGATCCAGGGTAGAATACATCCTCTGCAACCCATGCTTGTCGTAAACGGCGGCTATGCTTGTCGTAAGAGGCAACCAATGGGATTGCGTGGTCAGGTTCACTGACTTGGTACATGTCATTGTATCCCATTGCATGGATCAATGCTCATGATTTCAATCACTGAATTGTCTGGTCCAGACTCAATTATTTACAGACCGCCATCATACAGCTGGAATATTGCTGAGTGCGACTAAACAACCAACAAAAACATAAATAAGATAGTATGATATAAAAATCAGTGGACGAGCACATACACTGAGTTCCTTTGCTTTATCAAAGGCAAATTGGCTGAGCAGAAGGAAATAGTTTTCCAGAAGCGTCTCTTCCTTGGGTCCTGATGGAGTGGATGAGGTAGAGGATGACCCTGTCTGTTCAGCCATTACCTGTAAAAGGTCAGATTATCAGTTACAGAGGCATGAGTGTTCCCATGCCACACATCTACTGTGGCATACAATTGATAGGATTAAAACTGTTCCATGGTTGACTTGTAGAAAATTCTTTTGTCATGAAACTGTTTTCAATCTGTCTAAACTATTTATATAACCTCATCTTGATATCCTTCCAAATTAACTGTAACCGGGGTGTCTCAATGACACAAATCATCATTCTACAACTGGCTTGTCTGTGCCAGATCACATGGGCTGTTGTAGATGCAATAGTAATCAATGGTAATGACCAATGCTGATTGCAGTTTCGTGGTTCATACAGGTATGGAATACTAAAATTTGGTCTGCTGTGAGTATAAACAGTTTAGGTCACTTATTCTTATATTAACAGTGTCTTGTTTACTACTGGCCAGCAATCTCAGTTATAGCTTGGGCGTGTTTATATTTAATAGGTAAATTCGATTCACAGTTCCCAGCGGATGCCAACAGCTGACTCGGTAACTGCAACACAGCACTCGCCAGTGGACAGATGGATGATTGTCAATAGGGACACGGGTTACGGACGGTGCGCTATGCAAGTAACCGTAACAATTTACCTGAGCATAAACTGTTTATACTAGGAGAAGAATAGCATCTTGGTTTTACAAGCGTCATCTGTCAGTGAGAACCAGGATTCAGTACCTTCCGGCAACAAATTGCCAGCAAAATCTCTTCTGACACCGATCTGTGTAAGGGGGGCAACTCTAATGTATTAGGGTAGTTAACTCCCTTGAGCGGTTGCGACGAAAGCTTTATATCCTTGACGCCTGTTGTGCCCTTAAACCTACAATGGTCTTAAGTCTACAATATTCATGAGTGGGCGTGGCTTGTGTATGCACGTGACACTATCTTCCTCAAAGCTGTTGATGTCTAACGAACGCATCGCTGTCTCGGCTGTCATTGCGCGATACGATGTTTCCCTCACAATCTCTACATCAGGTATATAACATGTAGTTTATGTGTCTTTGAATATTGTGCTGGACTATATTTGCGAGCCTCGACTTCGGACAGATCGAAAGTTCCGAGAATTACAGAGTCAACCCAACTCGCCTCACTCCGAAACATTCGGTGGTGTACATTAGCCCTCATCGAAACATTGACATGTCTTTGCTATTACTCGCAGATCCAACACATTAAAAACCTCTTGTCATCATGCTCCATACTTATACAATATACCTTTCTCTACTTGTTATATTCAAGAGCAAAGCAATCTCTGCTATATTCAAGAGCAAAGCAATCTCTGCGTGTGGCAAAAGTTGGTCAACTACAAGATGCAACTATATATTTTTTATTTCCGAAACCCTGAAAAGATTCCAGGGAGTAGATTCACATGGTGTCCCAGAAAAAGAGTTATCATGCTTGTGATATAAATATATAAAATAAAATCCAAATGGTGCCTAGAACAATGTTTATTAATCAGGCCCATGGCTCAGGCAATTAGGACTTGCCAAATCATTCTAGACTTGAGTTGGCTGCCTTTCTCCATTTATTCTAATGTGTCTGAGAGACAGAGGTTCAGGAATGTGCAATCTTCTTTCTGGATAAAAATAACCATATGAACAGATTCTGAACAGAAAATGAAGTAAAAAGTATGAAATTCAATTCCATGTATTAAAGTGACACAACTTTAATCTCCAAACAAAAAAATATATGATATGATGCCCTATTTGTATAAAATCTGTTTGGAATTTATTTTTCAAATTCAATATACATCTATGAATAACCATTTGGCAAATAATAAAATTAGATATCATACATGATCAGTGATGATATTTTCCATTATTCCAGATAATAATAGATGAGCATCTAATTGGATCTAATTAGATATGAGCACATGCAGTTTAATGTTACTCAAGATGGAAGATCTGTCGAAATGTATGAACAACATGAAATTAAAAAACCCAGGTAAAATAGACATAACCGCATTGATCATGATCTGACAGTTTCATCAGAAATAAAAACAGATTTGTTGGTATTAATCATTGCAGAAGTCTTTACTGGAACTTTCTAAGTCTCAAGTAACTTGAAATGCTTTGACATAAGTTTAGTCCCAGTCAAGACTACTATTTTTGTAAAGGTGCAATTTTTTCATGTAAATTCTTATTATGACATTCACTCTCTCTCCCATTTCAGAGAAAAAATGGTGGCTTCCTTAGCGTATCAACAGAAACCCTTGAAGCTACAGAAGGTCTTAAGTCTACAATGATGGGGTGGCCCCTCCCTGGACCCCCCAGGCAGTCATGGGCTGTTGCATAGGCCCCTCCTGATCCCTTTGACCATGCAAAACCCCATCTTGGCTGAACAATTTCATTCACTCTCTCTCCCATTTCAGAAAAAATGGGCGGCTTCCTCGGCGCGTCAAGACAACAGCCAGTGTGCACCTCAGAGGTTCTTCCAGCTTGCCAGGTGAGCTTCAAACAGCCCAAGGCACCCTAGGAAACTGGTCAAAAATCAAATCAAAATTCTTTTTCTCTCTGTCTTTTTTTAAAGAGCTTGTGTAGACTTAAGACTTTCAGCAGGTTTAAGGGCAGCTATAGGAGCCCTTAAACCTGCTGAAAGTCTTAAGTCTACAATGATGGGGTGGCCCCTCCCTGGACCCCCCAGGCAGTCATGGGCTGTTGCATAGGCCCCTCCTGATCCCTTTGACCATGCAAAACCCCATCTTGGCTGAACAATTTCATTCACTCTCCCTCCCATTTCAGAAAAAATGGGCGGCTTCCTCGACGCGTCAAGACAACAGCCAGTGTGCACCTCAGAGGTTCTTCCAGCTTGCCAGGTGAGCTTCAAACAGCCCAAGGCACCCTAGGAAACTGGTCAAAAATCAAATCAAAATTCTTTTTCTCTCTGTCTTTTTTTAAAGAGCTTGTGTAGACTTAAGACTTTCAGCAGGTTTAAGGGCAGCTATAGGAGCCCTTAAACCTGCTGAAAGTCTTAAGTCTACAATGATGGGGTGGCCCCTCCCTGGACCCCCCAGGCAGTCATGGGCTGTTGCATAGGCCCCTCCTGATCCCTTTGACCATGCAAAACCCCATCTTGGCTGAACAATTTCATTCACTCTCTCTCCCATTTCAGAAAAAATGGGCGGCTTCCTCAGCGCGTCAAGACAACAGCCAGTGTGCACCTCAGAGGTTCTTCCAGCTTGCCAGGTGAGCTTCAAACAGCCCAAGGCACCCTAGGAAACTGGTCAAAAATCAAATCAAAATTCTTTTTCTCTCTGTCTTTTTTTAAAGAGCTTGTGTAGACTTAAGACTTTCAGCAGGTTTAAGGGCAGCTATAGGAGCCCTTAAACCTGCTGAAAGTCTTAAGTCTACAATGATGGGGTGGCCCCTCCCTGGACCCCCCAGGCAGTCATGGGCTGTTGCATAGGCCCCTCCTGATCCCTTTGACCATGCAAAACCCCATCTTGGCTGAACAATTTCATTCACTCTCTCTCCCATTTCAGAAAAAATGGGCGGCTTCCTCGACGCGTCAAGACAACAGCCAGTGTGCACCTCAGAGGTTCTTCCAGCTTGCCAGGTGAGCTTCAAACAGCCCAAGGCACCCTAGGAAACTGGTCAAAAATCAAATCAAAATTCTTTTTCTCTCTGTCTTTTTTTAAAGAGCTTGTGTAGACTTAAGACTTTCAGCAGGTTTAAGGGCAGCTATAGGAGCCCTTAAACCTGCTGAAAGTCTTAAGTCTACAATGATGGGGTGGCCCCTCCCTGGACCCCCCAGGCAGTCATGGGCTGTTGCATAGGCCCCTCCTGATCCCTTTGACCATGCAAAACCCCATCTTGGCTGAACAATTTCATTCACTCTCCCTCCCATTTCAGAAAAAATGGGCGGCTTCCTCGACGCGTCAAGACAACAGCCAGTGTGCACCTCAGAGGTTCTTCCAGCTTGCCAGGTGAGCTTCAAACAGCCCAAGGCACCCTAGGAAACTGGTCAAAAATCAAATCAAAATTCTTTTTCTCTCTGTCTTTTTTTAAAGAGCTTGTGTAGACTTAAGACTTTCAGCAGGTTTAAGGGCAGCTATAGGAGCCCTTAAACCTGCTGAAAGTCTTAAGTCTACAATGATGGGGTGGCCCCTCCCTGGACCCCCCAGGCAGTCATGGGCTGTTGCATAGGCCCCTCCTGATCCCTTTGACCATGCAAAACCCCATCTTGGCTGAACAATTTCATTCACTCTCTCTCCCATTTCAGAAAAAATGGGCGGCTTCCTCAGCGCGTCAAGACAACAGCCAGTGTGCACCTCAGAGGTTCTTCCAGCTTGCCAGGTGAGCTTCAAACAGCCCAAGGCACCCTAGGAAACTGGTCAAAAATCAAATCAAAATTCTTTTTCTCTCTGTCTTTTTTTAAAGAGCTTGTGTAGACTTAAGACTTTCAGCAGGTTTAAGGGCAGCTATAGGAGCCCTTAAACCTGCTGAAAGTCTTAAGTCTACAATGATGGGGTGGCCCCTCCCTGGACCCCCCAGGCAGTCATGGGCTGTTGCATAGGCCCCTCCTGATCCCTTTGACCATGCAAAACCCCATCTTGGCTGAACAATTTCATTCACTCTCTCTCCCATTTCAGAAAAAATGGGCGGCTTCCTCGACGCGTCAAGACAACAGCCAGTGTGCACCTCAGAGGTTCTTCCAGCTTGCCAGGTGAGCTTCAAACAGCCCAAGGCACCCTAGGAAACTGGTCAAAAATCAAATCAAAATTCTTTTTCTCTCTGTCTTTTTTTAAAGAGCTTGTGTAGACTTAAGACTTTCAGCAGGTTTAAGGGCAGCTATAGGGGCCCTTAAACCTGCTGAAAGTCTTAAGTCTACAATGATGGGGTGGCCCCTCCCTGGACCCCCCAGGCAGTCATGGGCTGTTGCATAGGCCCCTCCTGATCCCTTTGACCATGCAAAACCCCATCTAGACTGGACAATTTCATTCACTCTCTCTCCCATTTCAGAAAAAATGGGCGGCTTCCTCGGCGCGTCAAGACAACAGCCAGTGTGCACCTCAGAGGTTCTTCCAGCTTGCCAGGTGAGCTTCAAACAGCCCAAGGCACCCTAGGAAACTGGTCAAAAATCAAATCAAAATTCTTTTTCTCTCTGTCTTTTTTTAAAGAGCTTGTGTAGACTTAAGACTTTCAGCAGGTTTAAGGGCAGCTATAGGAGCCCTTAAACCTGCTGAAAGTCTTAAGTCTACAATGATGGGGTGGCCCCTCCCTGGACCCCCCAGGCAGTCATGGGCTGTTGCATAGGCCCCTCCTGATCCCTTTGACCATGCAAAACCCCATCTTGGCTGAACAATTTCATTCACTCTCTCTCCCATTTCAGAAAAAATGGGCGGCTTCCTCGACGCGTCAAGACAACAGCCAGTGTGCACCTCAGAGGTTCTTCCAGCTTGCCAGGTGAGCTTCAAACAGCCCAAGGCACCCTAGGAAACTGGTCAAAAATCAAATCAAAATTCTTTTTCTCTCTGTCTTTTTTTAAAGAGCTTGTGTAGACTTAAGACTTTCAGCAGGTTTAAGGGCAGCTATAGGAGCCCTTAAACCTGCTGAAAGTCTTAAGTCTACAATGATGGGGTGGCCCCTCCCTGGACCCCCCAGGCAGTCATGGGCTGTTGCATAGGCCCCTCCTGATCCCTTTGACCATGCAAAACCCCATCTTGGCTGAACAATTTCATTCACTCTCCCTCCCATTTCAGAAAAAATGGGCGGCTTCCTCGACGCGTCAAGACAACAG